CGTCGTTCTTCTGGTGAATCTTCGAAAGCTCGTTCATAAAAGTTTTCGAGATGAATGTTAATGGGTGTAATTCACGGTCACTCCTCGATCGTTCGGTCTCCCCGATAATTCTCGATGAACTTGCGATAATGAACGAGTCTGTGTGTTAGTCGTTGTAATTTATTATTATGGTAATCATAGGAACGGGATTATTCTTACGTTGAAGATTCTGGGAATATTTTGCGGATGTTTCTCTGAAGATCGTGGATTAAAAATAAAGACGATATTATATGTTATATATTTTGCGGGTGGTTAATATGGTTATTGGCAGGTCGAAGTATCTCTATATACGCGATCAAGACCAAGCGAAACCAATTGACGTTCATTAACGAACCAAGATGTAATTCTCTATTTTTAACCTTTGGTACGTATATAATTTCGTTTTCTTATAAACATACTCATATATTGTTTCGATTGACTTGACATTAATTATTTAAAGAGAAAAAAATATACTCGATCTATTTTGAAAGTTTCTTTCTTTTTTTCCTATAAACAATTTGGACTTGATCGTGTTGAAATATAGACAATCGACATTCGCGAATTTTTTGTTCCTTTTTTTTCGAAATAAAAAACGTCATTATCATAGTTAGTCACAGAGACATTAATTTTTACCCACATAGCCAATAGACTTGTTGTCGAATGAAAAGCACAATTAAAGCTTTGGAATGTTCGTTAGTTTATAAGTTCTTTTGTGAGTCTGTAAGTTCATTTTCTTCCACACCATTTTATTATTGCAGAAGCTTAACTTAACGTTGCAAATTAGCTCCCTTAGATACGTACAAAAATTTGTCGGGATTTCTATTAGATTTTGGTGTAATACGTTGGACCATTTGTCCGTAAAAAGAAAAGAAAAATAATATAAAAATCCATGCGACAAAATTTGCAACATTAAGAGTTAACGGATTAACAGATACGGACGTATTTCGGCAAAAAATATACGCCACAATCACGTATATAGCCATCTCTCCCAAAATCCCGCGACGTGTCGTTGCGATGAGGATAGTGGCAGTAGCGATGAAAGCATAATCTGCGTCCGTAATGTGGTTTTGATCTGAAGAGATGAGACGAATCAAATCCCCCTCCCCTTCCCTCCCTCCCTCCTACAAAAATTCCATGCTGTTAATCCTGCGTCCAGGCACGGGTCTCGTAACGAGCGTCGCTGAAGAAAGGATTCGGCGCACGATTTTAACGTACATCTTTTTGCACCATATTACAGCGTGCTGATTAGACGATATGAGGATTGAAGATTAGGAATGGTCCAGTAAATCGAAAGGATCAAAGGATCATTGAAAACGGAATTGGTCTGTGGAATAACGATTTAACTAATGCACCTCGTTCTTACGGAATTAATAACAGAAAATTAATAAGAAATATAAATCAAATGAAATGTAAATAAACTATATCTTTTATGCTCGATTTCAGAAAGCAAAAAAGAATAAAAGTGAAAAATTAGAACATCATTGTGCCTTCGCAAGTTAATTCAAAAGTAACGTGAAAAAGAAAAATAAAGTTCGCTCGATACTGGAAATATTGACAAATTAGATAAATAAAAATATAAAGGAAAAAAAAATATCCAAAGATTCGTTGAGATAAACTAACCATGATTCTTTGGAAGAATCATTCATTTCAGCTGACGTACTAAGGTTCGATTTGTATATCCAATGATTTGGATAAATATCTCGGTGCTTTTCCTGGCAAATCGAGAGGATTCAGATCGACTCTTCGGTTTCTCCAGGAAGATCAACGAAGAGCGTGGAAAGTAGGAATTGTATTAGCAGCATAAGTGACTTCCTTTCTCCTAAGCAATGGTTAAGTAGAGATCGTAGAAAAAAAAATGAAAATATTAGTAATAGTAGTAGTAGTAATAGTAGTAGTAGTAATAGTAGTAGTAATAGTAGTAGTAGTAGTAGTAGTAGTAGTAGTAGTAGTAGTAGTAGTAGTAGTAGCAGTAGTTATCGTTAAAGAACATATCCGTTATATCTCTATTATTACTGTCGAAAGACTCGATAGATCTTAGCACGAATCAAAGAATCTACTGATATTGTAGAGAAGGTAGTAGCGATAGTGAGATACTGGTAGTAATAGTAGTATAGCACTGGTAGCACTAGTAGTAATTATATAATATGTTTCGCTGCTACTTGTATCCAAAACTGTGAAAATCAACGATGATATAGGGAGGTATAGGATGATATTATGCGCCTAAAACTCGAGCGTAGCTGACTAGCCTTCTATGTGAACGTTATATGCCGTTGGATGTCGGAGAATGGATTAAAAAATGTAAAAAGAGAGAGAAAAAAAAAGAAGAAAAAAAAACGGGTACTGCGGAACGGTGTCTATCAATAATCGTCTCTTAGGTCCTAAATTAAACTCTAACGCTCTAAGCTGCAACTATGTTTTAATCATAAAAAAAACACGATTCAAGCGTATCCTTTTTTTCTCTCTTACTAAAGAAAATAAAGACGTCGCAAATAAAAGAGGATCACGATGCAGCTAAAGGAACGATGTTAAGATTGGTGATCATAGATTTTGATATTGGTATCGAATACTCGAAGGGATCAGACTAAATTTCAATAAATGAGACATTAAATGAGATATAGAATAAAATGGATCAAGTAAATCGAGTGGAAATAAAATGGCTACGAAAGAAAGGAGAGGTATAAATCGAATATCGATAGACACCGGAAGATATTATACGAAGGTCATTGGGAGAAGGTCGAGTTCGCGAAGGGAAAATGTGACGATGAGAGAGTTATCGGAAGGGTCGAACCGACGTAGGAAGATAAGGGGGTAGTTCAGGCAAGCACACAGGCAGGACTCGCAGGTGGGACTGACCTGGGTGACAACAGGGCTGTACTCGCTAGCCGTTGTACTGGCCGTGGATTTAATCGTTCCCGCGTCATCTGGCGCGGCCAGGGCCGCATCGGAAGGTCTACAACTGCGTCTCCTTGTGGTATCGTCTTTATTGCGTCCGAAGTCGAGTCTCCTCGCCTCGTGCCTGTTACCAAAGACGATTTCGCTCTCTGTCTTTTCTCTCCTTGGCCTCTGGGGCCCATCGCGTCCAAACGAGAAGTCCGTGAGGACGGGCTCGCCGGTATTAAGAGCATTGCCCTTTTTACCGACTATACCTGCGACGCTTATCTCGCTGCCGCGACGATTACCACTCGCGAATATGCTTGATCTCGAGGAATCCGACTTTTGTAGATAAGCGGAGTGCCTCGTTGACGGAAAAAAATCCGAATTTTCGCGGCGGAATGCACGGGCGAATGCGCTCGAGGTGTTACCGAGCTTCGAGTCGCTCTCTTGTCGTCTGTGAACCGCCTTAAGCTGCTGCTGCTGCTGCTGCTGGTGCTGTTGTTGGTGTTGTTGCTTTTGATGTTGCTGCTGCTGGTGCTGCTGATGAAGATGGTGCTGATGATGATGCTGCTGCTGCTGCTGCTGCTGTTGCTGCTGCTGCTGCTGTTGTTGTTGCTCGTATTTCCTACGCGCTAACTGCTCCTGCCTCTTAAGGGTTCTTTCGCCGGAAGAAGAGGAACGATCCTCGCTGCCAGATTTGCTCGTACCGACCGCCGCTTCTTGCTGGTGCTCCTGTTTCATTTTATCCAACCTTTCGTTAAAACCCTGAAAGAAGCGGGTGAAGTCCCACTCCTTCAGAAGGAGCTGCTCGTCTATCTCTGAGCGGCGGTTGTCGCTAGCCATTGCACGATCGTCTGATGTCTGACTAAGTTTCTAAAGGCGCGCACGACGACGAGGGTAATGGTACGATGACAGAGAAAAAAAAAAACAAGAAAAAAAGATACGTGCGGTAATAACAATGTGATAGGTGATGGTGCTGTTTAGTTTATGCGATGGAAATGTAACGACATTGTAGAGAACGACTAAGCTTGCTAACCGGTGGTGAAGTTGTGATTGAAGTTCCTTCTCCTTTTTTATCTCTCTTTCTCTCTTTCTCTCTCTCTCTCTCTCTCACTCTCTCTCTCTCTCTCTCTCTCTCTCTCTCTCTCTCTCTCTCTTTCTCTCTCTCTCTTTCTCTCTCTCCCTTTCTTTGTCTTCTACTTTAGGTAAACACTTTGTCTTTTACTTTACAAAAAGACGCAAAGATTTCCGGCAAAGTGTCTTTGATCGTATCATTAAAGTATATATGTGTAGTAAGTATGTGTATTAAAGGAAGCGTTTGTGTTTAGATTGATCAAGGGAAATCTCCACCATCGGTGCAGCATAGTCTACGATGGCGAATGTATTTATCGATCGTGTATGATTGGTGCAGGGGGGTGGGGGGAGGGGATTACCGTACGACAGCGACAAAAGTACAGACACAAGGCAGTGCACCACAGTATTTTTCTTTCAACGTACAAGGTTCAGTCACGGCGAGTCATTGATCATGAACATATGGCGGGGGTTGAGCGAACGAATACCATTGAATTAGTTCCGGATATCAATCAATGTACGAGATAGGTGCAGAAAAATATAAAATAAAACGTATGAGCTACGCAGTCGTCCGCGTTTCCTTTCTCTCGTTCGAAGAATCGTAATTTTTCATGAAATATGCCGATAGATATCGAATAATACGAACTGTTTGCTATAACGATAAGATCAATGCTCTTTGAATTAAATTCGTTTAAATCCGTGCTCGTGCGTTGTCACTGTACAGGATTAAAAACGTTCTTTTCCCGTGTAAATATATCTAACTCGCAAAAAAGACGTCTTTTACCTTAACGATGGAACGTAAAAAAAAAAAAAAGTATGAAGAACGAGAGAAGATGTATCTAAGCAGCTCGTTCGTGCAAAAGAAAAGACGGCGGACGCTCTGCGCAATCTACCAAAACGTGATTACACAGAACAAATGTATAGGTCACATACACTCTGTACATATCAATTTGTACCGGTATATTAGTGGCTCTTCATAGATCGAGTATATCGTATAATAGAAGATAATATAGCTACGTGGGTATTTGTTAGCTTGCACAACGGACTTGAAAGTTATACTCACTCGTTTCATGACTAGTGTACGATCTCCGGACTCTTCCTCATCTGGCGTCGGTGGTAATGGTCGATTGGGTGCTCCACCTACAAATTAGAATTCAAATAAAATACATCGCTACGAGAATAGATATTCGATCAAGATTTTACTTGAAATACACCAATCTTATGCATGACCATTTAACAGGGGAGGGGGGTAAAGGTACAAGTAAAAGTATTGCAACTGAAAAGTTTCTTAACAGATATGTAAAAGTATAACTATAAGAAATAAACATCAGAGTTCATTCTTTATTACCTGCAAAACAGCAGCATTATAAATTACATGAATCACGGGGAAACTTTTCGATGGCAGTTTAGCTTGTATGTGTATAATTTATAAAATAAAAACGTAATAAATAATTCTTTGTCGATGTCCTACCTTTTGGCTTACCTTCGTGATGCGAATTCTGAGCGTTGTGCGAGGACGACGACGACGAATCCGATGATGGCCTGAAAGGAGAAAATTCGGGACTGCCGCAGGAAAATCAGATGCGAAGAACGATGTGAAACGATGACATGATGAGATTCGTGGTATGCGTTGGGATTGATGCGGCGACGATAAACGGCAGCCACATAAAGCGTATGTCGAAGCACGGGATGAGCATGATGGAAGATGAAACGAAATAAATTGCATTAATATTAATAGGAAAAACGCGTCGGCATTGAAGTCATATTCTTCCGCTTCGCGTTATGATATGAATCCACCCTTTTCCATTACAAGTCGTCTCTCTCTCTCTCTCTCTCTCTCACACACACACACACACAAACGCACACACTCTAGCGGCGGACGAACATGACCCACTTCTCGTAATTATTTTATGCGCCATAAGAGCTACATGTTCCATAAATTATCATATCCTACTTACAGAGGCTTAGGCGGATCGCTAGCAAGAAGTGTACCATCGTTCCTCAAATTGTTACTACCAGCATCTTCGAGATCGTCGTCGCTGTCACTCTCGATCGACAGTGCCTAGAATGAGAAAAGAAATAGCACATTGATTCAGCATCATCGCCCTTTACAAGAATTTTTTCAAAAACGTCATCGACTTTTCCATCGTCGTGACTTTCTTTTTTACCTCTTTTCTTTCTTTCTTTTTTCTTTTTTTTTTTCTTCTTTTCTTTTCTTTTCTTTTCTTTTTTTTACACAAGGCACAAGACGCTGTAAAATACTTTCGCATGAAGAAGGAGATCGTGGATAAAGCAAGAGGAAGATACGAGGGATGAGAAAAATGGAAAAGGAGGACGAATCTAGGAAAATATGTACCAATAATATACACATCGTCATAGCCGCGCACGCGATTTTAACGCTTACTTGATCGAGAATACTGGAGGATTGCTGCATCTGTTTGTTGTTCTGATCGTTAGCGCTCGCTGGCTGGACCGAATTCGAGGTTGACGTCGCTGGAGGGCCTTTATGTTGCCTGTTGGGCCTAGGCGGGGCCTCGGGGCCCTGTGACACACCAAGCTCGTTGAGTTGAGCGGCCAGCATGTCCAAGTCCTACCACCCACACGCACACACGCACAACCCCGTTAGTCACTGTTCCGAGACACCTCTGAGAATATACTAAAAGCCACCACTGGACAGCCAAACAAGGCAGAAAGGCAGAAAAGTGGCAGAAAAGTAGGGAAAAGTACTGCACTTATAAGCGATGTCGCGGACACTCCAATTTCGTATTTACTCGCTGTGAAGGAAATGATCATACGCAAGATGATTTTCGTATAAAGATTAATCGTTAAAATGATCTAGCGTTCCATGACATGAAACAGATACAATTTGACGAAGAGAAAAAAGCGATGACATTGAATGTACAATTCTTTATAGTAGACACACTTTAAGCGTTTGGTCAGTTTTCCGACACAACGAGGCACCGCCTAAGACGATTCTCGAAACACCAACAAACGTGTTGTTGTCTTCTAAACATTGTACGATTTTACTCGTGTAAAAAGTCCAGTCAAATGATTGGAGTGAGGCGTAAAGTAGTACAATGCTGTGCTCAAGCGATAGAATATCGATGAAACGAGTAAAGACAGTTAGTGCATATACAGAAAAGTTAATAACCAATCAGTGTGTATATATTACTTTTATTAAAATATATAAACCAAATGTGACAGGATTTATTCTTTGATACTCTTTAAATAAATACTGACCACTGACTGGATATGTAAGTTAGCTATATATGTGAGTGGAAACATAAAGAAGACGATACTGAAACGTAATACGACAAAGGAGAAGAATAGGTGTGCGTGTTTCTTACCTCTGGCCTCCTCGGCGGCAGCTACGGTTCGTGTGAACATGGAAAAAAAACAAAAACCAAATACATTCCAAATTCGGGTGCAAGGCGACTTAAATGTGTCGGTGAGTGTATGGGCGTTCGTATACATGTATATATTATTAGTATCTGTAGCGTGCACGCTTATATGCCGTAACAGCAAGTAGAACGAAACTTTGCGTGCAATGGAGATATATATATATATATATGTATATAGTAAACAAATGCATAGTGTATTGTAAGTACAGAGAGAGAGAGAGAGAGAGAGAGAGAGAGAGAGAGAGAGAGAGAGAAAAACTATGCACTTCACAGAAAATACGGCTGGATCGGTAAAAATAGCATAATTGCAAAAAAGGATAAAGACAGCGTGTGCCTTATCTACTTTATATATAAATACTATTCAATTACTTTTTCATGATCTTTGGTTTGATAGGAGAGCATCGAGAAAAGGAAGCTTTAACAGGAAGCATAGGCACGGAACGGAACGGAACGTTTTTTTTAATCGATAATTTTGACAAATCCCTACCATAGGTTTAAACACGTGACTGTTTCTTTGAGGTGCAGCTTGACCACCAGAACCCCCGCTACCTCCACCGCCAGCGGAAGGTGCTTGATGATTGGAGGGTGGTGTCGAGACCTTGTGGGATTGTCGTGGATCGTCCCTAGGTGTCGGTGGTAAAGGTCGTGAAGGCGGTTGCGGATCTGGCACGACTAAAATGTCAATAATGTTCTTACTACCTCTTGGTTTCCAGCCCTCTTAATAAAATTATCAACGAGTACTTACCGATGAGTCTGTGTGGAATGGCTGGTCTCGCAGGCGGGCCTGGTTCTGGTACTTCCCGCTGAGATCTACCTTGATTTGGCTTTTCCTTACCGGCTGGAGCTTGAGGTGATACATCTTGAGTCAACGTTCGACCTTCTTGAATTTGCTGGAAATTACGTCTTAATGTATCACCGCCGGGAGCTTGGACTATCGAGGATGGTTCGCCAGCCAATGCCGGTTCGTCTTCTTCGTTTTCACTACCACTGTATCGATAATCGTCTCTTTCTACGAAACCAATATAATACTCTTTTAGATCGAACAATTTAACAAGGAGATGGATGAGAACGATCCAAGAAGAATTTTTTTATACCTTTCTCTTGTTTGCGTTTCTTACAACGATCGATATGATCTTTGAGCTGTATTCTGACTTGTCTCTCCGTCGGTTGGTCCCGAATAAATGGATGCTTGAGTAATTGTTCGGTGTAAGGCCTCTGATGATAGTCCTTCACCAATACAGTTTCGATAAAACCATGAAACTTTTTCGCCCATTTTTTGGACTTCAGTCTCGGCGGTGGATTACGCGGTATCAAGAACAAGGCCTGTAGTTTAAAAGAGTACAATCAAATAGAGGATCATCTCGTGGGAAGACTAATAGGAGGAGGAGGAGGAGGAGGTAATTTTGCCTGAATCGCTTCGTTAAGGAATATCATTTTAAAAACTAACTCTCATCGGGTGTAGGTCACAAAGTGGAGGTTGTGATTCAGCCATTTCCAAAGCGGTAATTCCGAGAGACCAAAGATCACTTCTATTGTCGTAAGTAGCGTCGGGATTCTCATCGCAAGCTATAACTTCTGGAGCCATCCAATAAGGTGTACCTATAAACGTATTCCTTCTGCCTATCGTTCTGTCCAATTGCGCGCTAACGCCAAAGTCAACTGCAACGAAGGAGAACTACTTAAACTGCATCCTAACGTACCACCCGTACAATGACCGTCGAAAAAGAAAAAATTCTTTTCTGTTCTGATTCAAAACGAACAAAGTAACTTATATCCTGATTTGGATTTATTCCAACGGAATGAATGACAATGTCTGTTTAAAAAGTAGAAAGAGAGAGAGAGAGAGGAGTGCGTACCAAGTTTAACCTCGGCATTGTCGGTCAGAAGTACGTTCTGTCCTTTTATATCCCTATGGATTACTTTGTTACTGTGAAGATAACTGAGACCCCTTAATATTTCTCTCGAAATATAAGCGATCCATTCTTCCTTAAGGCTCTGACCTTTCGTCGATTTGACGAGGTCTGTGACGGAGCCAGCTCCGCAGTATTCCATAACCAGCCATAGCTGATCGTCCTTCCCTGGTGATGACTTCTTCACGAAGGCACCGTAGTACGTAGCTATGTTTCTATGATTCGAATACTGTGAAAGACAAAAAAAAAGAAAAGAAAAGTAGAAGAGAAGAGGAATGAAATGAACGACGATAAAAAAAAAAAAAGTCACAACGCGTGTCATCGTCTAATATCGGCTTGATTTTATGAGAAAACATAACGTCGTTGTTTTATAATGCGCTCACCCTCTTCAGTACGTTTATTTCCAATTTGATTTCTTCCTCTTCATCCTGCGAACAAAAACCATTACCATTAGAGGCGTAGAATGTGAGAATTCCAGTGCGCATAGATGGCTGTAAGAAACCACATGCCGTTCCTAGCCGTTAAGTAGGTAAGTAGAGTCGAGATTTACTCGTGCGTTACAAGATTGACTGAAAAGAGAGGATGCACTACGTAAAGGAGAAAGAGAAGGAAAAGCCATCGTCGTTCTATCGGCGTAATTCAAATCTAGACAAGAGAGAACAACCGAGAACACGAGCATATAACACCGATGAGTGTTACGGTACGCTCACCCATATGTATTTCTTATTAGAATCGACGAATTTTCCATTATTTATCTTTTTCAAGATTACGCACAGCAGCATCTCGTATATTTAGTAGATACTTCCAAGATATATACTACTCTATTTCTCCGAGTTAATTTTCATACAAGCTATTGAACGAAACAAATACCATATATCCGATCGTTTCTCGAAAATTACCTCTGTGACGTCCATGACCTTGATGGCCGCCAACTGACCCGTTTTGGTGTGTCGACCCTGAAAAGATACAAAGAACGTTATGTTCACGATTGGACGAATAAAGATTGCGAAGTAAATCGAGGAAAAGGGGAAAAAAAAAGGGAGAAAAAAGAAAAAATGCCAAGTTTGCAAAGTAGTCTCTAATTAAAGCCGAAAGTCGCTCGTATTAGCGACTGAGGTATTACGTGTTATTAAAAGTCGATTAAAGGTGTAATTAAAGGCGTGACGTTTTAAGACGTGCTGCGTTGCATCACAATGCGCTTTACCGCACCACGCGAGTACTTCGAGTTCTCTTAAAGTTGCTTCGTTGACTTTGAAACAACGGTGAATACACCGAGAAAAGGAGAAAGCCGATGTAACTCGAACTTTTCGAACCGGCAACACAACACGACAAGGATTATGCTTACCAAAGTAAGCAAAAAACTTTTCGTCAAGTATACCTTATTCCAAACGCGAATTTTCCCTAAATTTCGAGATACATTCACGGCAAGGTTGTTCCTACAACATCGTTATAAGTATTTTTTATTTATTAGATTATGGACATGAGGTGCAATCTTTAAGTAATGTCGACAAAAAGTTGACCATTGAACATAGGACGTGTTAATCAAAAAGAAAGAAAAAAAATTGTAAAGGTAAGTCGTGTCTCTGACACTCGGAGGAAAACAGTGTAACGCTTCGAAGCATTTAAACTCGCCATTCCGTGGACAAATTCGCCATTACGTCGCGGCCACGCACGGCGGCGACCACCACGCGTCGTTTTAACGTGGTTCAACTAAATCATCCCCTCTGACGACACAGACTTGCGTAGGCTGCATCGACGATGCACCACCACCGCGCCACCAGACGCATATACGTACGCATACATACATACATACATACATAAGCAGGGCGCAGCGCAGTGTAGCATAAGCTCGTCGACGCAACACGGTTGCTCGGTATGAAACAAAACGTTGTGCTTGTACCTTCCCCTCCGTATTTTTGCGCGCCAATGGAGCCGGAGGAAGAGGAAGAGAAAAAGGAAGAGTACCGAGGAGGGGATGAAGAAAGAGAAAAGCGTCACCGCATGCTTTTTATATTCAGCCTTTTTCCACGACAAAGCCACGTACATACGGCCGGCAGACGCCCAGACTACATCCACCGTCTCTGTCTCTTTTCAAAGAGAATCGGTTGCAAGCATCCGACGTGTGTGTCTCTCTCTCTCTCTCTCTCTCTCTCCTACTCGTACATACACACACACACACACACACACACACAGTTCTCTCACGGAAAATCGACGAAGACTCAAAGCTTTCTAGCGTCCCTCTCCTCCCGCTTATGTTACTATACACAACAAAACTAACGTGCATTCGTAGCACGTGTGCTATATATGGAAAGGGGTATGATGATTTCTCGTATAAAAACGAATCGATAATAAATAGATTTTTATCGTAACAAACTTTGTTCGTTTGGGGAAAGAATTAGAACCTTTGTTATAATGAAAATACAAAAACTAAGAGAGAAATTTATTTCCATTGATTCTACCAAACCCTGACGTAATCTATATTTTATCATAAAGAAAATTTATATAAAAGTATGTTTTAGTTTTGGTAGTAGGTACACACAGCCTTCGTGGGAGAGCTTGCGGTTATCTCAAAAATAGCCGAATACAATATCCGCATCGATTTTCGCTACTGACAAAAAGACCGTGAGAGGGATCACGCTCTAAATTCAAGCTTCCATCGTCGACTGCTCTTCGCTCGACCGTATCGAGAAAAAAGATCGATACGCATTTTGTGCTTTATTTTTAGATTGAAATAGAACCTTTAGGCTAGATGTCGAAGATAGCTAGCTGAAATTTGTTAAAAATCTAATTTCTACCTCGTCAAGTTCTTAAAATAGAAAGATCTTAATTTGTGGAAATACTATTATAATCCTCTTAGGATCTATCTGTCGTATCGCGTGATTGTATAGTGCGTGCGTGCGTGCGTGCAAGCAACGACGCGAAACGCCCTTTCGATCGGCCTGAAATCGTTTCTGCCTTGTAAAACGGCACAGTTTTCGAACGACTACCGCATTTGGGGCTTACGTAATCGTAGTAAGGAACCGATCACCCGAAACAGACGGAAACGTATTTTCTTTCCCACGACTGGCTCGAAGACTATAGAAGAAAAAAGAAAAATAAACAAAAATTAATCGACGCATTAGTTCAACACGTTGAATCGATCATACTTATGCATGTAAATGAAATTTTCTAAACAAACTTCTTCTTCAAGAGGATTAATCGCAATTGTCAAACTAGTAACATAACGTTCATTCGATTCATTTATACGAATATTTATATATTAATTATCATATAAAGAAATTTGAATAATAAATTGCAAATGCATCAATCGATAAAAGAAGCGCATTGTTGGATAAAAACAAATAAACAGGCAAATGGAAACTTTACGATCGTGGGAGCTTTCTTCGCGAGCGTTTATTACAATATAAATATATACAAAGGAATCAAGAACAGCTGATTATTCGTGACAGACTTTCGTTATTCTCTGCGTTCGGATGATTTGGAAAAAAGAAAGCTACGCGTCGGATGTTCTTTATCTGGAGGAGTGCCGAGTGGACGGAGAGAAAGAGAGATACGAGGAGAGAAATGAGAGAGAGGGTGAGAGAGAGAGAGAGAGAGAGAGAGAGAGAGAGAGAGAGAGAGAGAGAGAGAGAGAGAGAGAGAGAGAGAGAGAGAGGAAGAGAGAATGCACCGAAAGACCGTCGTCGACGTTTGAATAAGATATCGACTCCCATTCAAATGGGCCATCGCGTACGGAACACGCGTACGACATTGAAAATGAACGCGACATTGGAGGAAATACGTTTCTCTCCTTTGATGAAAATGCACATCGTCTTGGGACGAGAGTATAGCTAACTCGAGCAAAGAAGGAGAAAAATAGCTGTCGAGAGGAAAGTCGATGGAAGAAAATAAAATAGAAGAGAGCGAAGAAAAAGTAAGGATTCGTAGGTCGTCGGTGATATCCTCGTCTTGCCACGAATTACGACAAGCTCTCTATCGCACTCGACTGTTTCTCGTCGGTGAACGCCAACGTTCGATCGATGTAGAGACAGGTTTCGAGTACCGGTTTGCTTAAAAATAAATTTACGTAGGTATTCACCTATGTATATACGTGTATCTGTACGATGGGAAGCAATAATAGCGCATGTTTTCCATATGTCGAAGTTAAGTGTTATCCGAATAAATCTTTATTTAATAAAGAACCAATCGAATATTAATCATTTTAAAGGAGACATGACTAAATTCCAAGTGACGTTTGAAAAAGAAATTTCTTTGAAAATTGAATCAAAAAGATATAATTATCCATTTATATTTTTTCGTGTTTTTTTTTTCTTTTTTTTTCTTTTCTTTTCTTTCTTCAGATTGAGAAAGAATAATCGTCGTTGCATAGTTCGACTTCATTAGCCAGAAGGAGGACGATATAACTAACGAGTTCGTAAGCGCGTTACGAAATCAAATGTAAAGTCAATGACTCATTGCTCTTTCCGAAAGTCTTGTCGTATCGACCCGATCAATTGATGTTTTAAAAGATAATACGTAGTACTATAGAAGGAACGTCGCCTCAAGAAGAAAAAAGAAGAAAAAACAAACAAACAAAAGTGACCGAGGTTGCTTTTCCGAATTCAGGCGGATGATCGAAACGAAGGATAGATCAATTCGATACGTATCGATCATATTTTATATTAAAAAATGACAGTAGTCGTGCGATTAACGGGACAGATGGCCGTGCGACGATTTGTCACTGTCATGACTTCAACATTCGAAGTTTCGAATTTCAATGAAACTTAACACGCTTCAATGGGGGATTCATTGACTCGACTTGGGAGAGTACATACGTTCGTACGTGTGTACTAAAGTGATATAAATACCCTCGGTAAAAAACGATCGAGGACATCGGACGACCGACTTTTACTCCCTCCGATCCCTTCCCCACCTGCGACACGCAGAATTTCTTCTCGTTCGCAGGTGTTTTCGCACGAGATCTTGATTGCGAGATTCACAGCTTTGTTCGAAGAAAAAGATAAATAAATCTTATCGGATCAGAATGGATTTCGTTACAATAAGAGTCGTTCCATTATGTACGCTGAAAAATAATGATTAAAAAGAAGATTAGAGAAGGGGGAGGGGGGAAGAGAGAGAGAGAGAGAGAGAGAGAGAGAGAGAGAGAGAGACATACATATATCGTATAGAAAATTTGTAGATTATGAGAGATCTAGAACGAAACATTAGACCGACTCGAGATCGAGAATCGTCGGAGTGGTTCGTTCCTACTGTCTACCTCCCCTCTGTCCTACCCCTCCTTTCCCTCTCCTGCTCGTTCCTCGTCATCGGCAACGGGTCATCGTCCTTTCCTCTTCCCTCTCTCTTCCTCCTATCGCATATATCACACAGCCGCGAAAGTAAAGCATTAAAGAGTGCGTGTGCATGGAATAGGTGATGCATCGATGTATCGAGCGAGAAAAAGAAAGAGAGAGAGAGAGAGAGAAAATGAAAACTTAACCCTTGACCCTTGAAAGAGATACGATAGGAGAACGTCGATTACTTCGAGATAAGGATCCCGTGTGCTTTTACGAAGGAAAATGATATGCGAGAAGAAAAAAAATAAAGAGTTAGGCGTTTATTTCGATAGGTTGTATATAAATTGTACGTCTATATAATCTCTAGGGTATATATTTTACATATTATTTCTCTAGCACTCCTATCTAGAAAATCCGTATATAATCCCGGTACTAACGGATTCGACGAGTCGTTTTTCTACGAGGCAAAGGAAAAAGAAACGTAAAACCGGACTGTTATCGTTATCAGTAAACGTTAAGTAAACTAACGTTTTCGTGAATCACTGACATCCGTGAGGGTAAATCGTATCGAAAAATAATATCTTTTCATTTGTTTTCTATATCTAAAGAAAAGAATTACGTGAAATTTTATTTAAAATGTACGAAAAAATATTACATACGTACATATAAGAAAAATTTATTCTGATAAATCGTAATCTTGAAATTACAGAAGAAAGAAACGTGGATACGTTTATCGGTAAGAAAGGTTTGTATCGTTGACGACAAATTAGCATAACAATTGAAGAAAATGAAGTTAAGTATATGAGCTTGTTAACGTCGTGCAAAATGAATTGAACGTAATCGTCGACACTTGGAGAGAAAAAATAAAAAGTCGACCCTTTTTCGAGTTTCGCACGCGATACCGCGCCCTATGCTACTTCGTATCTCCCGGATATCCGTTATTAATAATCGATATCCGTTAATATATGTAGATACACGGCCATTACCATGACTCTTCTTCGTAGACGCTTTCACGCTAAGTTAAACGATTTTTACGCTGGCAACTAGCTCGCAGGAAAATCTCGGTGGTCGTCTTATCTTCCATCCGGCTAGGAGGGATTCTAGCATGCAATATGGGCCGCTAATAGACGCGGTAGAGCCTGCATTTTTTATGTCGCTTGCTCCGTTAAAAAAAAAATAAATAAATAAATAAAATAAAATACAAAATGAAAAGAAAAAGAAAAAAAAAACAAAGAAAAGAGCACGGTAGAAACGATGACTATGTCCACTCCCAAACGCGGAAGGCAACGAGTTCATTTCAATTAGGGCCTCGTTAAATACTCCAATATAATACTCCCCTTTGTACTGAAATTTATGATGATATGGAGAAAGAAAAAAGTATATAATACATAACATAAACGAAATATGTCACAAACTTTCAACATATATTGTTCCACAAAAATTCTCTCTTTTTTTTTTCTTTTTTTTTTTTTTTACAACCTATCTTATCCTTCCGTGATTCAACGACCAATTGCCGTTAGTGGTCATCGATGTCTTAGCTAACCAAGAAAACAATTGGAGAAGATATCTCGCTGTCCACTTGCTTATCTATAAGCAAGAGAATATCTCTCCTACTTTTAAACGAAAAGATCTTGATGAAAGGGGACACGAGAAAGATGATCGGCGTTGAATTAACACGAGGCATAACGACTCTCATATGATAAAGACTGCAATAAGTATTTCTCAGAGAGTAGTCAGGACTACTTCGTTGTTACACGAGTGGTCCCTTTTATTCTAAGAACTTTAATGACGCATACTGTACGTTCCTCGTCCTTCCGGTCGAGATTCTCGACCTCCGAGTAGGCGCGCGCACACACGAACACGCTCTACGACCGTTTTTCACGCTCTCAAGTCTTCTTTCTCAAGGACGACCTCGCCAAAGAGAATTTTTTCAAGGTGAATCACCGTCATCTTTCTTTCTTTCTTTCTTCCTCCCCCACCCCCGCCCCTCCCCCCGCTCTCTCTCTCTGTTCTTCGTTCTATGAGAAAGAGATAGACGAAGAGGGGAAAGAGAAAACGCAGGTGAGGTTAAAAGTCTCTTGAAACGAACGATCGTCGTGTCTCTCCCACACGTCACGTCGGTACATCGCGCCGACGCCGTCGACACAACACGTCGTCCATTGACGATTACACGCAGGGTATTTCGCTTTAAAACGACGAGTCGATGAAAGAGAACAACAGAAAGAGAAATCCTAGCAAAGAGATAATATTGAAAATGACAATAAACTTTCTTCTAAACCATATAATACATTTAAATACGACATAATATTCATTATAAATTGAGTTAAAATATCGAACGTAATAATAGCTTGTTAAATGCAAGACATTGAATTAATAATAAAGATGTTATTATTCGATGAAACGAAAATGATCACTCGAACGATCCTATGGTCGCCTATTTATAACGCGTAAAAGGAAAATAAAGTATGCATTTATATTTATATATATATATATATATATATATAAAAAAAAAAAAAAAAAAGAAAAAAAAACTAAGTTCAACCTTGACATTTTCCGGAGGAAACAACCTCGGCCATTCTTTCTCTCTTTTTCACTATTTCCATCGCGAGCTATGATACCATAAAAGCTATTCTCACCAACCTTCCTCTCGTATCATTGCTATTTCCTATATCGAAGATAATTCCTCCTTTGCACTCGATACGCTATTTTCTACATAAAGTACATTATATGCTATGTATAGAAAATGATCTTATTCGAACTGTGACATCGTTTCTTTTTCTTATACGGCAAAGATAAGATTGCAACCTCGTCTCTTTTTTCTTTTTGTTTAGATCAAATGTTTTAATCGCAAATCAAATCTAAAACGTGCCATTATTTTTCTAAACATTATCTTTACTTTTCACATATCGGAAAACGACTTTGGCCAACTTTTTTCTCACTAAACACGTGGAAATTGAAAGATAGAAAACGTGACAACGTTGTGGAGCCACGATGACAATGACGACGACGATTAGTTCTCTCGACTCTTCCTTCTACCCACGTGTTGGACAGAACGCTAAACGTTTCCTATGACGTCATTCACGATAGTAATCGCTTTTTCGTGTTTTCCTAGGATCTACCGGATGAAAGAGCAGGGACAAAAAGATATGAGAAAGTTCGAGGTATTATTGCCCAACGTATATACGTACATATATATATATATATACATGTAATTATTTACGTTTCATACTTTTCTCCGATGCAGTAGCGAAACGTAAACATTTCGTTTCATAATAGCTTAAAAAAGAAAAAGAAAAACAAGGAAAAAGAAAAAAGAGAGAAAAAAAAGGAAAAAGAAGAAAAAAAGTTATTCGTTAATCGTAACTAAATGTATCGTTGCACACAATGATGCAAGAATGCTATTTCGATTTTAATCGACTCGTTCGACTTGGAATTTTCTTACAGATGAATACGTCACTTTGAGAAACGCTTACGTCGTACGATTCGTAAGCAAAAACGCGATCGATCGCGACCATCTTACACTGCTCGTTGGTGATTATCGCTTCGAAATAAAAATTTAAAAAAATGCAAAGAAAAAGAAAGGAAGATTATAAAATCATATACGACAATGAAGTTAATCCGAACGATTGATTCATTGGATAAGTTTTCGACGAAACAAATGAAACGATAAAAGCTACGTTTCTCAGTAATCGTAGGAAACACCATTCCGATTCGATCGAGCAATACACGCTTCAGATTCGAAAGGAATCGCGATTAGCGATCGCAAGGACGTTTCTACAAATTTCATCCGCATCATCATCGTTCGGTATAACTCACGCATATGCGCGCGATGTAATCACGCAGAAGGTGATGCATAAAACCTAATTTTTTCCTGGTAAATAAAAACGCGGATCTCCATTGATATTCGAAATTCTTCTATCTTGAGTCATGCGAATATTTATAAGTGATAATATAGAATATACATTGATACGTCCATAATATCGAAAGACCATCGAGACTCAACGAAACGATTTTCATTCTCGAGTAAAGATTCGAAAGTAGACACCCCCATATATAAATCATGAAAATCGGATCGTCGTCATTTAAGAATTATTCGAAAACGACATATTACATGGAATTCGAAATCTTTCTTGCTCGTTACGTGTCCGATACTACACACGATGACGATCGATGCACGCACATCAATGTTGCACTTATGTATGTTACACCGGCTAGCGATTCAATCTCTTCTCTGTGTAAGAGCGTACACGCGAGCAATCGGTCGCGTGGTCGAGCGAAGAAAAACTTGTTTGACCATTAAGTAATCGCCGACAAATAGAAGATCCTTCGCGATCGATCGATCGATCGATCGATCGAAGGGATATTGAAAAGAGACTTACTTTGTAAACTTGCCCGTACGTTCCATTGCCGACGACTTCGATCAGCTCGAATATCCCAGCGGGTTCCTGCAACAATAGAAACGAGTCAATGAAGGAGATAGACGGATAGACAGATAGACAGAAAAAGCGAGAGAGAGAGAGAGAGAGAGAGAGAGAGAGAGCGAGAGAGAGAGAGAGAGACAAAGTTAAACGGCATCGGAGCTCGCCTAACTTACTTTCTAACGAGATATTTTGCATTCGCGCGTTCTCACGATCGGAATCGCTTAAACACGCATGGACGACACGAACCGTTAAGGGAATAAAAACCAACGAAATAACGTTCGGCCCCTTCTCATAGTATGAGAGGCCTCTGCAACGTAAAATTAAACGATAAATCGATTATTATTATATACCACAGCTTGTAACGACCTATAAGCAAATTTACATATAGTATAAGAGAATTTTCAAACGTATACAAGATAACCATACGACGTGACCACCTTTACTTGTTTAAAATTAGAACGTGTATGCGCGGATTATATATATATATATGCGTGCGTGCGTGTTGTGTATTGTATATATATACGTATGTACGTGTTCATACACGCCTATAATAAGCATATTTAGTTAAATATTTGAGAGATAGTGAGCAGCATTGACTAAGCTAGCTCGTTACAAGTCAGTAACTCGAAAACTAGTCGAGATATCAAACTGATTCCAAGAAATCATTGGAAGTATCTTTGATAGAAGTAAATTCTAATGACTATTATTACACTATACGTCGGTGCGAATACAAATAGTTACCCTAATCAAGAGCGTAAATAACGACATGTAAACTTGACAAAATATATTGTAATATACGACGTAGGTATGAAATAGAAATCGTCGAATACGTACTATATCAATTACGCGGCTACGTCCTACGTTCGGAAAGAGGAATAAAAAAAAAAAGAGGATAAAAATGAAAGTGAAGGAAGTTTCCGAAGAATTTAAAGATCGGAACGGGAATGGTTGGGCGCGATTCGCGCCAACTTGTCAACGGATGTTATGCGATACGCTCGGACGCTTCCGGAATGACTTCGATGGCCGGCCACGAGCGAACATCTAAGAGAAGGACAGAGAAAAACGAACCGTTCTTCGTGTGTTCAATTCTTCTCGAAGACGTTTGCGCGAGACGGGAAGTATCGAACGAGAGAATACGAGGACCTCTCCCTCTTCTCTGTCCTTCTCTCTTTCTCTCTCATTTTCTCTCTCTCTCTCTCTCTCTCTCTCTCTCTCTCTCTCTCTCTCTCTCCCACCCTCCCTCCCTCCCTCCCTCCCTCTATCACTCTTTCTCTCTCTTACTCTTTCCCCTTCATCCTCTCTTGCGACTCATCGAAAGAGATCTTTCTCTAACGAAGGACGAGACGTTTTCCTCGATCGACTTCGTCGATCATCGTGTTATCTCTGTCTCTCCAACACCGAAAGGCCAATCACGGTACTTCTTTGTGCGTTACATTTGCCATCGGTTATCGAAAGATTTTCGATAGTTTAGCTTCGAATAAATGCCGGTAATAGAGCGATTATCGTGACCGCGAATCCGAGAAGAACGATATTTGTATTTACGTACCTTCAGGGCGTTCAGGTCAATGTCGTCGAGCGAGCAGTTGACGCTCGGTGCCAAATTATGCGCCATCTTGATACGCCACTTGCGCTCCCTCGCGTTATCTCTCTCGTTCGAACGCACGGAATCGGACCAGACGTGTCCCCTCTCTCTTCTCGCTTCTTATATTTCTCTCTCGCTCTTTCTTTATTCTCGCTCGCTCGCTCGCTGACTCTACTCCACCTTCCACCACCACCACCACCACCCCACAACCCCACCAAACCGTCGAACTTGCTCTTTCTCTCTCTCTTTCTCTCTCTCTCTCTTTCTTTCTCTCTGTATCTCTCTCTCTCTCTCTCTCTCTCTCTCTCTCGCCTCAGCACCACGAGAGCCAGACAAAAATACAAGGATTGGAGAGAAAGAGAAGAGCACCTTCCTCCTAATCTTCGTCCTCGAAGTCGTCGTACTTATACCGCGACGAACCGAACACAAGAGAAGGAACGATCACTAATAATGGAGAGAAGAAAATTCCTTCTCTCTCCCTCTTTCTTTCTTTCTTTTCTCTCTCTCTTTCTCTCTCTATCGCTCGTTCTCGCTCTCTCGCTCACTCGCTCTATCTCTGTCTTTCTCCTTCTCTTTCTCAATCGTACAGAGATGGGCGTACCGGCGAACCTCGAGCAAAGACACTTTCTTTCTTCCCCTCGTAATAACTTTTTGTTTTTCACAAAAGAGAAGGAGGGAGAAGGAGAGTAAATGGGAGATTCTACTCGAGGATGGTAATCCACTGGAAGAGGACACACGCGACGACGTAGGTATAGTGACGGCGGCGGCACATGACGCACACACTAAAATTCACGAAGGAGGAAGACCCCAGCGAAGGTACGAAGGAACGAGAGAAGGACGGAAACAGGCTGCCACGGTCAGACCGTGCCGCGACGCGTCTCCATCTCGCGTCTTCCTCGTCGTCGTCGTCGTCGTCGTCGTCGTCGTCGTCGTCGTCGTCGTCGTCGTCGTTGTTGTTATTGTTGTTGTTCTTCTTCGTTTCGTTTTCGGCTCCTCTTCGTTCTTGCTGCCGTAGCCGAACGAATCGTAAAAACGTACGGTCACAGCGCTTAGCGCTGGATCACTGTATTGTCATAACGAATAAATGTAAGAGAAACGAACCGAGTCCAGCGCACACGTTCCACGGCAACGGCCGTTCCACGTCCTGTGCGACTGCCCTCTCGCTCCTTTACTCTTCCCACTACCGCTCCTCCCTACGCGCTCTCTTACTCATTCCTCACAAAGCGCATGCGCAGATTATCTCTCTCGCTTCCACGCTCCAATCCAATGTATCTATCCTTTGGTTTCTATGTCGCCCAATGTCGCTTATAGCGAGATTAATACACGCGTTATTCCTTACAACGACGACGGACAAGGACCAACGTGGCGTCTACTTTTCATTTGTATTTCATAAAATAACTTTTAAGATCCAAAAACGTGTGCGATTCGTCATCTCCGAAATGCTCGGTCGATAATAACAGAATTTGAGTCAATGAATCCTGGCGACATCTATACGATCATCCTTTTATTCGTTTATGCAGTTAGCTTCGCGAGGGAAAATACGAACAGTTCTGTCGAGGAACTAAGAGATACTCGTTCGAGTCAAAGGATAATGATTATGCTAACGGAACGTATATTTACTAACAAACAAAAATGTGTTAGTTTAATATGATAATCTAAACAATAGTACAAGGAAAATATTTCTTGACTCTACTTATGTAACAATCATATAATATTTTACTTAATTATTTTCTATCTGTCCATGCGTTAAGATCACATTGTTTTCTATTCAACTATGCATGTAAATATTTTGATATTTACCCTGAAAAAATATCCTGTAATTTCTTCCGATATAATAATAATACGATCGGAATGATACAATAATTGTCGTAAGAAATACGAAATTAATTCCGTAGAAATTAACATCATTAAACATAATTATATTATCGTTTATGTTATTATATTAGAATTATATTAGAAACTTAATTTGTTTCTTTTTCTTTTTCTTTTTATATTGATCTATGATCATAACAATTTACTTTTCTATTAAATATGCAAATACATAAAACGACATTAATGTATTACGTACGAATTTATGAAATTGTAGCTTAAATTGTATTTCACATCACATTTGTTCGATTCTGACACTCGGCAACGTTATATATATATATAATAACTATATATATATATATTAATATATATATATATATATATATATATATATAATAACTATATATATATATATACAGTTACATTTATGTATATATATATATATATAGTTACATTTGTGTATATATATATATATATAGTTACATTTGTATATATATTGGTTAAAGCAATTTTATTGTGCAATTACGCTTTCAACGAAAAAGTAATTCTTATGACATCATATTTGTACAAACGAATGCTTTAACATAAAGCAGCCAATTTACGAACTGTATTCAAATCTCTAAGCAACATTTGTACTGTTTGCTTCGTACGAGGTTGCACATCCGGACTAGGTATTATCTCGTCAGGATCCATGGCTTCCAAAGCTGTTAGAATATGAGAAACAATTGTGTTTTATATTCTATATAAATTCATTTTTATAAAATATTTACATACCACAAACTTGAGCTTCTATAGATACTAGTCTCGAGTCTATGTGACTCTGGAAATGTTCGATATGTTCCAGTAATCTCATTCGACATTCGGCCGAATCAATTGGTGCTTCTGGTTCTGGTATAAATGGTTGTAATGGAGTTGACAATTCCTGTCCAATTTCAGGTACATTAGTTTCACCATGAATATTATCCCCAAATAATCCAGAGATCGATCTGTTATCTTCCGAACCATTTGTATCTATCGTAACAATGAAACTATTGTAATAGAGCGATGGAATAAATAACCGTGATTAAAAAAGGAATGAGAAGGGAAGGGGGTGGAAAAAAACACTGTTTCAACTTACTTATATTTTCTATTGGATTTTCAAGCTTTAACTTCTGCTTTTCGTCCGGACTTCCATTTCTTGTTAATGCGTCTAATAATATATGACCGCCGTTTGAATTTATCGTATCCTCTTTTTTACACATAACTTTCGATTCATCTGAATTCGAGCTATCTTCTTCTAAAATTTTCATTAATTCCGAATCAGAAGCTATAGATTTGTCATCGTGATCATCCTTTACCGACGTTTTCGTTTCTATTTTTATGTCCGTACGTCTAGAGGTTTCAGAACTTGTGTCGGTAGAATCTATAGGCATTTTCATTACTTCTATTATTGGAACAGGTTCCATATCAGGCTTGGGTACATCCAATTTTTCCCAATTTTTAGCCCAAAGATATAATTTCGGATGATCTTTTTTCCTAATATGTGCAAATTTACACGTTTAATAGTTTATAGACATAAAGAACGAACGTAACGAAATGAATCGAGAAACTTTACTTACTGAGCTACATTAATTTTCACCCTCAGACTATGGAGAATTTGCTGCATTTGCAGTAAGGCCGCAACTAAATCGTACGAACGCTTTAATATTGCAGTTCTTTTATTAATTGCATTTTGATTCTTCGTTCGAGTAGATAAGCTAAAGAAGAAATATAAACATTTCGTTAAAGTTAAAACGATAAAAGATATCACTAAGAATAGCTAGAGACATTATCTATATTAAATACCTTGGCAATTTGCCTTCCTTTATCCAATCTTGATCGTGATAATATTTTTTTGAAGGCCGTTCACGATAAGGGTGTCGGCATATATAACAAACATACTTTTCTGGAACATCTTTTTCTTTTTCAATGGCATTACAGTGACCATGTTGCCAACACAAACAAAGGTCACATTGTATCATTAAACCATCTTCTTCCATATAGCCACAGGTACAATTAATTATTTCTTCTCGTCGGAGCTGCTCCACTTTTACCATTTCTCCATTGATCATCATCATAACTCCTTCGCTTTCTATAAATAAAATATTAATGTAACATAATATCCATTATTTAAACGATTTTACATAAAAATAGTAAGTCGTGTATTAATTAATTAGTAGGTAAATCATGATTAACCCCAGCCACGTATTCATTCTCTACTAATCGTTTTATAAAAATGTTCCATTTGCGCAAACTATTTTCTAAATCTGCCTCTAAGTTAATATTTATACTGCCTCTAAGTTAATATTTATACTGCCAATAAATAAAATAACAATTATAATAAAGGAAACGGAGAGGAAAGGTTGAATGGAATAATGTTGAAATAAAAAGGGTGTTAAAAAAACAAACAAAATACCTTCTGCATCATTACTATTATCTCTTTTTGCAGAATCCCCTTTAAAGGGGTCGCCTTTCTCAAGGCGAGAATCATTAAGTTGACCTACGAGCAATACAAAATAATAAAATAATAATAAACGAAAATATTTCACTTAAAATAAGAAAATATAGCACACATATATATATATATATATATATATATATATATATATATATATATATATCTCGCAACTTTGATTATATGATACAAAGGTTCAACTTACTATTCTGACTATTTTCATCGCTTTTGGAGTCAGATTTCCTACGACTGTATCTATATATGAGAGCGGTAGGGCCTTCTGCATCTACAGCACTGTCATCTAGATCTCCATAATCGTCTACAATGTCTTGCATACCTATGTAGAAAAAGATACAAAAGATACATCGAATTTATTCAACGGCTATATAAAATATAGTATATAATAAGAATATAGTAATATTATAAGGTATGAAAAATAAATGTATGCATACCATGTCGCCTTTTCCCTTTAGACGGTACATCAGAACTATATTCCGATAGTTGACGTTTTCTCTGACCTTTACCCCTTTCAATATGCATAGAATCGTCTAAAGATTTCGATCTATCCACCCTTTGTATTTCCGGTGTTACAGGTGGACGGACGGGTAATAATGTTTTAATTCCAACTTTCTCCGGTTTCTCTTCTCTTATTTTCATATCAAACAGTGTCCCTGGTGACATCGCACATGAATTTTCTTTCCTTTTTTCAACTTCCTCATCTATTTCAATACTATGACTTGAAATAGGTGACATGGTTTCTATTTTAATATCTTCTTTATGAAGTTCATTTACTTTCTCTAATTGGTCAACTTCATCTTCTCGTTCCTCGAACGTTGGTAACGATACGGATGGGGAAGAAGGCTGTACAAAATTTAATCTTAATTGCGACGTGGGCACTGGTGATCTTTCTTGAGCCTTCTTTTTCCCAAATTTATGAATTTTTTCCAATAAAGGAGTTGATTTCTTTGGAATAATGTCGTCAATAGACTCCCCGATCGTTCTTGCATATGCCAAATCTGCAACATTTGGTGTGGATCCCAAAAATTTCGAATATTCAGGATGATAATGTTTTATGTGCATTTGCAAAAGATTTTCTTTCCGAAAAGTTTTATTACATCCTTGTTTAGGACATTTATAAGCACTATCTTCCATCTCCACTCGAAGACCGCCGATGAAAACGGCTGCTTAAAAATAAATTTATCAAATAAATATCAGATACATTTTAATAATATAATTGTTAATACTGAGATAATCCCTTCTTTTAAGTATATACCATCAAAACATATATTATACTTACAATAAATCATTCCTAATGTACGTTTGAAACACCAACAGAAAATAAAAGATATATATTCTTTATTTTTAAGCGTTGCAATGAGAAAAATATCTTACCGCCGTTATTAACAGAAGTTCCAGTAGTTCCTGCGGATGCAACTGGTGTATTAACGGGCGTCGTGTTAATTGACATAAGTAATGTAGTTTCATTAGAAGTTGGCGTTTTTACTTTAGGCAACAATGTTTTTATCTTCTTTGGTATTTCTGGCGTAGGAACATCTTGCTTTAACTTTTGTCCGTGATTCTTTTTCTTACGGTGAATACAAAAGTCAAATTTCTCCGGATCAAAGTCAAACTGTCCTTGGCTTTCCATAAACGTCCTAATATCGTTCCTTGATCTAAATTTCTTTCCGCTCGATTTACTAAAACAATACTTCTTATGAAATAATGTTGCAATTAGAGAATGCAAATATGCATTTAATTTATTTTTTTAATTGCAAAAATTGCAATTTAATTTATTTAATCCTCTGCTTACTGTATAAATAAAACATCCCATTTTCCCGCAGACGTGCCAGCTTTTCTTTGAGTAAAGTGCTTCTGCCAGCCCGGTGGTAATCTTTTATCAGGTACAATAATAGAACGGCGTGGCCCTATAGAGCACAATTTTATATTAATTTATACAACTATAAATTGTAATAAATTTAGATATAATTCAGAAAAAAAAATTCTTTACCATCGTTTCCATCTACAATGTAAGATTCAATTCCTTGCGGTTCACCATCAACCCATGCTGGACCAACATATTCTTCTTGCTCCGTGTCAGATTTATGCGTTTCTTTTTTGGCCTTTTTCGGTAATGATTTCGTTTTAGGCACATTTGCATTAAATCCTTTTAATAAATCAGTACCAGGATCATAGCAGGGCCCAAATAGGGTACCATCCAAATCAATCTTAGGTTCTGGGAAACTTTCTACGTTATTTCGAACAACGGATTCTTCTTTCTTTATTGTTTTATCACTTTCATTTTTGGAACGTTTCCTAGAATGAGTATGGAAAAGCTCCATAACTGTATGCTTTCTTTTCTTGTCCCTCCTCTCTTGTTTACTTCCTATGTATCCGTCTTCTTTAACTGCTTGCTATACAATTGTAATATTAAAATAGACTTTATTTTTGTAAATTCTCAATCATCAGTAGTCAAATCCGTAACAACACTTACATACAAGATTACTGTTCTAATTATCCCTAATGAACTTTTAACCTCAAATCAAAAGTTTATTAGCTGAATTATTTTTAAAAATTTGTCATTCCTGATTCCTATTATTAATTTAAACGTTACTAATTATCAATTTGACAAGTAGAATCAAAAGAAAAGTACACAAATATGTGTTTGACCATATGTTATGATAATTTTTAAAAATTCTTTGTCCAAATAAAAATTGCGACTAAATAAATATAAAATATTCCCTTGAATATTGTTATTGTTTATATCGACTAATACTTGCAATTATTTATTCTTTTTGATATAACTTTAAGAGCATATATACTTGCAGACATATGGCAGCCATAATACCAAACAATAGAAATGTCTTGGCAAAAAATATTTCTTCTATAATATACTTTCGCGACTAGACAAAAATGAATAAAACTATGAATTAATAATTATGAATCTTGAAAACTTTTGGGGGGGAAAAAAAAAGAAAGAAAAAAAGGAGAGAAAAAAAGGAGAAAAAAAGGAAAAAAAAAGGAAGAAAAAAATGAAGAAGAAAAAGATCCTTAGTCAGTATGTTTTCTATAAATATGCTACATAAAGGTAACACTATTTCGGCCAAAACAATGTCTAAAATTGAGTAATTTTGATCTTGAAATTTATACGTATATTCCATGAATTAACATAAAAATAATAAAAAAAAACTATGAGAATAAAGAAATACCATCGAAATTTCTATATTTTTAATGAAAATATAATCGTATTGAAAATAAAAACTTCCTTTACGATGCGTCATCAATTTAGAGATACATCTGTCAAAATCATAAAAGAAAACTGGCTTATGAAAAAATTATGAATTCGCGTAAAAATAACAACATAACCTCAATATTTATTCATACCGTTTCGGGCGGAGTGGCAATTTTAGTCATCTTCGAGGATCTGACAATCTTTGCATATCCATCATCAAAGAGCACATCATACCTGTCTGCGAAAATATGTCACTTATAATTATAAAATAGATGGTATATTATAAATTTAAAAAAAAATATCCTTCCCAGAGTGAAAACGTCAAACGGACAATGGGAGGACACAGTCGATCTCTGTCTTTCTCACGGTGATTAAGGTTAGGTCGCTTACCATTCCCTAAGACGGCGTTTACTTTAGCGGGATATTTTCTGCCATCCGCCCACGTAGCTAAGATCCTTTCTCCGACCGAGAACTCTTTCATATTCGTCTCCCTGGGGGTGTCAAATTGACATATTACCTTCCGCGTAAAAAAACACAAAGAGGATAATAATTTCTCGCGACATCGTCAATTTTCTCGTGCAGCTTGTTGACAGGATTTTATTTAAAGTGCAGCATTTTGTTTTCTAATGTCAAACTAATTTAATCTTTGATAAAAGCAACATGTAGAAATTTCGTTTGTTTTTTGTTTTCTGACATAAAATCTAAATGAAAAATGTTATTACATCTGTCACCGCACAAATTCAAACATTAGAAATAAATTTGTAGATGAGAGCAACAATTACAGAGATATTATACATAAATAAGAAAAAGAAAGTACTACTATATAAGCATGAATTGTCGGTTATATGTATATATTTAAACAATTTATTCACTTTGCAAATAATGTTGTTTACGATGTATCGGAAAAAAGAAAAACTATATATCAATACCTCAAGTGATAAGTTTGGAAGAATTTATTTTTATCATATTTACACGCAAGCACCTTGTTATCATACCTTTGACTTTAAACAAACAACATTCGCTATCAGTGTAAGTAATAAATTATTTTATTTATACGTTCTATAATTAAAAACGCTATACACATTCTTCATTATCCTCAAGGAGAATCAGCCAACAAAACTACTAAAAATTCTATGATCTACGAACGATGACATATAGAACACATTTGAATGCATTCTTTTAGGAAGAGACATTTAAGAGCATGGTCGGTCAACAGAATGAGTTTTAGAAGAAATATGTATATACATAAAGCTATGAAAAAGAATATTTGACAGAAAGAGAAACGGAAGATTCTACAGATCTACAAAATTAGGATACCATAGGAATGTTCAATTATGATCTAAAAACAATGAGAATTACTAAAAATTTTATTATCTATCCTCTAATAACGCAATATCCACTTACGAAGATGGCTGCACCCAAGATTGCTCGCTTTAAAGAAAAACACAGAAGACAGATTATACAACTGTCATAAAATTTCGTAAACGCTACTATTAATTTCAATAATGGAATAGTACACGGTAATTTAAAAGTTAAGTTAATTCGTGATCGGGATGAATGAATTTGTTGCTATTACAGGTCTCATGATTGATTTTAAGATTATTTTAACAAGATTAACAATTGTTAAGAGATGTAAAATACAAAAATATAGAAGGATATCATATATGTCATGAAATCTGTATTGCAAGCATTTGGAAGGTGATCACAAATAGTGAGTTTCACACACACATTGCTTTTACCTGTAAAGAGGAAATTTAAAATCTTCGAGTATAAATAATATTTACTTACTTTGTTTCTGTTTGTAATACACGTAGTCTCGAACTATCCATTGGTATCCACTCATCAAATCTTGCACTCCACTTATGAAAATGTATCAATACTTCTCTCTCTACCCAATCTGTTTCCACTACTTTAGCAGAATACCTGCCAAAAGTATTAACAATTAATCTATTTTCTTTCACGCATAATGTAATTTCTTACATCTCTCGATCACGATATGATCACGCAATATAAAACACTATAGAAATTCTTTTTCGATACCAATACACACCACTTTTCGTTGAAGTCCTTTGCTTCCAATTTGGCACCAGGGAAGAATTTTAAACTATCACGATTTAACGTTTTGCTTTTCACATTGTTTCCCTTGTCAAATTCTTTCTCATTTGCTTTTTTAAAGCCATTTACTTCTGTTTTCGGGTTTACATCTTTGGAAACATGTTGCACCTTTTTCTCAGATTCAACTATACCCGACTGAATCGCCATATTGTTTGCTTTTATTTCTGTGCCATTAAGAGTTCCTTCTTTTATAATACTCGAATTCCTTCCCGCAGATAACTTGCATCTCTGGTCCATTAAATCAGACGTCTCCAATAAATTAATTGAATCGGCAGATGATTCTGGTCTGGAATAACAGGTTTCACCGCAACTGTCAGACTTTGGAGTTCTATCTTCGGATATTAAAGGAGAATGTCTCATATTTAAAATTTCCGCATTAATTAAATCCAGATCTTCTTGCGCATAAGAAGTAGAGGTCTTTACTGACATGATTACTGGATCTAAAAACCAATACATAAACATACTTATAATAAACGTCAACAACAAATTTAAAATCTGAGGAACGAGTAATGATCGATTATTAAAGAAATATTAAGGATTTAACGATTGTACGACGCTTAAAGCAAAAAAATATCAAAAGAATATCTCTAAAAGTTTTCTTTGTTTCAATCATGCATGAGTAATAATAAGTTCGAAGGTTTCTCATATCATCGATTTATATTCATCGAAAGAAGACCATATTCTATTCCAGTAAGGAAAAACGCATAGCGAAGATACGCGTTTGTTCAAAGAAATCCATGAATTTGTGTGCCTCTCGCTGTGGATGATATCGCGTAGTAGACGCGAAACACAGGAAATATCTCGGAGAAGAGAATAGAGGCGAGACACGGAGGGAGAGACTTCGAAAGCACTAGTGTTACGAGCCAGAGAGGGGGACGAAGAAAGGGAGGGGAGAGGACGCGAGGCGAGGGGACGATAGAGGGAGGAGGAGGAGGAGGAGAGTGAAGAGAAGGAAGGAGATGAGAGGAGGAGACGAGTAAGTGGCGGTGGAAGAGAGAGAGAGAGAGAGAGAGAGAGAGAGAGAGAGAGAGAGAGAAAGAAAAAGAACGCACTATCTTCTTTTCGTTTCTTTTTACAGCTGACAGCGGACCGTCCAGAGTCTCTCTACTCTCTGGTAGGTAGGTAGAAAGGAAGAAAAAAACGTAGGTTGAAATAGATCGAAAGATACCTGGATGGTTGTCATAGTTCGCAAAGACCGAGGGAACGCTGCCTTTCTTCAATGCTAGCTTGTTAGTTTTATTGGCGGCTTCGTAGTCGGCACGTTTAAAATGTCTGTGGCAGACGACTTGACCGGGCGTCGGCTTGAATCTCGTCTCGAAACCACCGCTCGTCAACCACCTGCCTCTAAGTACAGCGTCCTTCGGAAATTTATGAAGCGGCAGACCCTTGGTGCGTGCCTCCTGAACGTCGATCTTGCAGTTGGGCACGCAACATTTGCGCGCCATTCTCATCGCCCCCGCAGGCGGTACCCCCTTAGCACGCGAGCGCGCTATACGCCGCCGCTTCATTTACGCCGGTACTACATAGCAACGACCGCCCGAGAGAAACATTCGCCGAACAGGCGCACCTCGACACCGCCGCACCACCACCACCACCACATCCACCACCACCACCACCACCACCACCACCTCCTCCCCCTCCTCCTCCTCCTCCTCCTTAACCCTTATCCTTTATTCTCCTTCTATCCAATGTATATTAACGTCCTCGTCGTGGTCGTCGCCGTCGACGACTACCTTGCGTTCCGCTAAGCTTACAAAAAGCTCGAAGCGCCTCACGGACGCGCGCGCCCTTTGCGTCACGCGAAATACTCGAACGATACTTGCGAGATCGACGACGTCCGCAAAACTACTGAACACGCTCGACGAATCCTTTTTCTATTGGACGTATGATTCACTAGTAATCGATTACCTTACTTGAGTCTTGCGCAATTCGATTTTCGATAGTTAATCTAGCCATTCTACTACGCCTAATATTCACTAATCTTATTCCCATTTACGTTAAATATATTTCTTTTATCTTTCATTATTATTACAATGTTCTTTGAATTATTTAATTGTCTATCATTTGCTTGTTAGAACGATTACGTGCACTCGATAAATCTTTGATATTTGTTATCGATCGACCTTCCTCGCGATATAAGAAACATATCGATAAACCGAAACTGGTCAAATTTCGACCAATGAATGCGAGCAGCGACATCCTTTTAGATTCTCTGTGTTTCAAATATGTCATAAATACGTACTTTTGCTTATCTTCGTTTTATATATAAGTTATTTTACATAACCAATAACCATGTAATTTGATTAAATTATTAGTGTCAAAAATCTTCTCACACGTGTACGTTTCTAATGAATAATTTTTATGTAAGTGCCAATGTAAGTACATTGGTAATGACACGTACTAGTTTAATATTGATTACGTCATTCGAGAGACTGAAATTTCTAGTAAACTTGCGCAATACTTGTACACGTACGGGTTTAATATGTAAAGGCGTAAAGATTAATATATTGAAGATACATCGCACATAACGGATGTTATTTTAATAACGAATAGTTGCACATTTGATCATTTTCAAATGAAACGTATCGATCAGAGATAGATAAATACCAAGAACATATCTTGTTAATATTTCTTTTGCAATGTCCTCTGCCCCGATTCCTTGTTATATCATTAAATATTTGTTTTTGTAAAAAATTATTTATAACGGTATCAAATATATTACGTTTCTTTAATCAAGTCTGTTATATATATATCGTTAAGGTGGTATCTCACCAGACCAGATTTTTCGGTCTAACCAATCAGAGCTAACTACGACGTTAACTTTCTCCAAATGTAGCTTAATGAAGAATTCTCCTTGAGCGTATTTCGTTTCAGATCACGTGACATCCGTTGCGCGCTAACTCTTTCCCGTTGGATTCGACCAAACCTTTGTGCTTGTTCTCTCTGACGGAGCTAAGGCCATATCGGCGACTTGCACCATTATTAAGATCCATCGACTTTCAATAAAAAAAAATATAAACAGTAAAAATGACTACCAAAGCCGAGCTTGCTTGCGTTTATTCTGCTCTTATTCTCGTTGACGATGACATCGCCGTAACGGTAAGAAAATTTCACGTGTATTATTACGCTTGCCGATTCGTCTCATGCATTCGTATCATTATATCCAATGGTCTAAATTAAGTTTTCTTTTTTTGTTTCATCGTTATGACTATGTTGGTCTTCTTTTTTCTCTCTCTCTCTCCCTCTTCTCCCTTTCTAATTCATACACTGAAAGTGTAAAGGTTATTTGAAACATGGAAAATACAAAACATAATGTGAAAACTAAACAACAATTATACGCTACGTGGTAATATTGCAGGGTGAGAAAATACAAACAATTTTAAAGGCTGCCAATGTGGATGTAGAATCTTATTGGCCTGGACTTTTCGCAAAGGCTTTGGAGGGTGTGAATGTGAAGGATCTTATCACTAAAATTGGATCTGGCGTTGGTGCTGCACCTGCTGCCGGTGGTAAGTATCTTTGATATTATGTGTAAGAATATTTTTCACTTTTTAATCTTGTCCTCTTCATCCACCTTTCTAACTAAATTTACATATTAGAATGGTTAGCATATGAGGATATATAAAATGAGAATGGAATTTTTGAGTCTTATGTTGTTGTATACATTGGCTTAAATTCTTTTAGCGACAATTATAATAGATACGATCAAATAGTTTTTCTATGATCTTCTCCATGTTGAAAACTTTTTCTTGTTTTAGTCACTGCTGCTGCAGCTGCACCAGCCAGTACGGAAGCTGCCCCAGCTAAAGAAGAAAAGAAGAAGGAAGAACCAGAAGAAGAATCGGATGAGGACATGGGTTTTGGTAAGTTGACACAAAGTTTATAAAATCTCACTATATGATAATTAAAGAAACTTATCTAATATTTATTCTAATCCATGTAATAGTATTCAATGATTATTCGATCATGTATTAGCTACTGATGGTATATGTGAAGATAATACATTTAAATGAGATAGTCTTTACATTTCAATGTTTTTATAAAAATTGAAGCATAAATTTTATACTAATTATATTTTATTCATTTACAGGATTGTTCGATTAAACTCAGGGATCGCATTATGTTGGTCCATTCCTCTTTTATGTACAGTTATATTGTACAGTGAATAAAACATTTTAAAAATTAAAAATATTAAAAGTATTTGTACTTTTTGTCACATCAGAGGAAGCATAAGTAAATGGTAAGCACAATTTTACAATTTGTATGAATATCTTGACATAATACTATGGGTACATTAAAAATCTAATGTGACACAACCTTTACGTATCAGGCATGATGTTATTTTGATAATAACTTAGTCGTGGCGAATATGCGTTTACGCCAAAGTACGTGTGGATATATTTATCTAAAATACGTATTTTTATAGTAAGCCAATAATATTTGAAAACATTTCAGACTTCGTCACTTCGTGAAAAGTTAGATAATATATTCCGTATATTTCACTTTTCAGTATGATATACATTTTTAATAGACTTTTGATTTTGCTACTATGAGACACTTATTGGACTTTTCATTGTTGAAAGAGCCTGCTTTCATTGACATTGAAAATATCTTGCAATTCTCATGAACAGAAACTAATATTAAAAGTACATCGTATGAACTACAATTACAATCGGCCACATATAGAAAGAATTCATATACCACTATAGAAGTTTCAGTCTATCGATAGATCCAACAATTACATCTATGAGATCAGCATTCATGCAGTTGATTCGGATAATATATCACAATTGCATGGGATTCGTAGTCCTTCGATTTAGATCATTCGCACGACATTTTATCAGCAAAACTGTGCGTTATGATATTGTAATATTGTTGATATATAACTTGGAAAAAAAGATATTTTAAATAAAACTCTTAAAATAATCTATATCAAGGCAATCGTATTTAGCGACTTTAGTATATTTTTAATCTATGGATATTATCGAAAATAATTCTCTGTAACGACGAATATATGTTTTTTAATTAATATTTGAAAATATTCGTATTCATTTGTATTGCGAACTTACGTTTATATTTAATGAAAAATAGATAGTACGCAATTTAATTCATTATAAATCTTTTCGTTTCAAGTTCAAGTACTTTTTACTAGACAGAACAAAAAATAAGCCCGAAGACTTATAATCATTGATCTGCAAGTTATATTTGATGCTTAATCTTTATATTCATCGGTACAATGAACTTCCGGCTCGGACAATGGTAACCATTGTGCAGAGGCACCCTTCCCTGACAATACACGATGGAAGAGTTCCTTTTGACATTTGCTGGAAACTTCGCATTTTGCGATCAACTCACCGTTAGCACGCAATATAGAAAACTCTAATGCACACTTCGAAAACACTTCGTTAGGAACATCAAAGCTAAGAATATCATTCCACACTGGGCTTGTCGCTTCCCGTTTGATACTGGACTTCTTCTTTTTGAGACTTTTCCCATCTTGCATAAGTATGACCTAAATGGATCGTGATAAGGTGAAATCTTTTTAAAACTGTTACCTTTTTTTTTTTTTCACCTACCTTTACATACGGATTGCAACTTGATGAATCGTCGGGTATAGGTAGATTCTTGGCCCTGACAACAATGACCGTCAATTTCTCCGCTAATGGTTGATATGAAAGAGACACCATCAATTCTCCCAAAGGTGGAGCTCTAAAACCACCCTCGGCTCCGTAACGCAATATCGGTACTCTAACGGTTTGTAGCGTTAGACCAAGAATATCCACTAACGTAGATAAATGGAATTGTGCATAACCCAAGCCACGATGTCTAGAGAAAGCATCGAAATCGTATAATAGAACTTCTAGAGTTCTATCGCTCAAGGACGATTCTGGATTTACTTCAAATACGAAGTCCTCGTCGAAAACTGTTGGAAAGGTGCATCATTAAATAATATTGCGTTCATGTGTATCATTCTCTGATCGGCTTTACCTGGATTTAAAGTACGTCTATGTATTCTCGTTTGCCAGACATTACTTCGATCAGGTAACAGGCGTATTTTAGCATAAGGATCGGCGGTTCCACTGAGTTCACGTGCACGTAAATTACGAGCCTTACAAAAGGAGAACAATCAATGTTTCTTCACGAAGATGAGATGATAAGTGTTAATAAGTAATCTTATCTATTGACAAGAATCGATCATATATAATATTAAATACCTCTAATAGGCGTACTGTGAGAATACCAGCAAACGCATCATGAATCAATCCTATTTCTAAATCGCCTCTAAATTCGTCCGTTGAACACGTTGACGAGGAAGAAGAAAGCTACGAATCAATGTAACGAAAACCACAATACATACGTACGTACGTACGGTACATAAAGGATATTTATTAGAATAACTTTTGTATACCTTGTTCCGTGGTTCTGACTCGATTTCAAGACTATTCAGTCTCGAATGAGAACTATCTAAGCTTCTAGGAGGATGTTTAACGATTACCATTCGCTTCTCCGATGCTACGACCGTACCTTCGGGTAAAGGTGGTGCGAGAGGACTCAACGGTGACGTTGGAACGTCGTCGGATTCGGATAGATGATGTCGGACTATGAAAAAACATTGATCGAGGATAAAATAAATGAATCGTTTTGATAAAATCAGTTGAATCGATAAAAAAACAGGATATATTTTCTTTATGAATGGTATATTCACTCACTTTTCCTTGGGGAATCACTCGCAATACTATCGAATACGTGATCCGATTGCCATTCTTCGTCATCGGAACGGCTAGCACTGTGTTTCGGAGTTCTACTATCACGACCAAGAGATACACTCGATCCTAATCCAACTAGAACGTCTTTCGAAGATCTCGCAGCTTCTTCAGCTCTATTCAATAAATCTTTCTCGAACCTGAAATAAACGATAGGACGTTAGATAGGACGATAGACGTTAGGTTACAATTTTGGGAAAATCAAATGATGCTGTGCACATGTAGCAGCTAATAGTGTTAAAAGGTAGAACAGACCAATTAAGAGGACCGACGCCCGAAGCAAGCAAGGGTAATCTTCGACGTCGTGTACAGATCGTATAAACGATCACTGCTGAAATTGCTCCAGTAGCAGCTCCAACGGTTCCTAAAACGGCAACCACTCCGGCTCCGTGAACGTCCATATTAATTCGATCTTGTATCTATCCTAAATTAAATAATTTCATTGGAGCTCGCGTAATAAGCTAAGACAACAATGCGCGATTGAATTCAAAGTTTTCGCCTCGTATGAAAATTTCATAGTCATTTGTATTTTGATCAAAGCTTTTTTTTTTTTCTTTTTTTTTTTTTTTTTTTTTTTCTTCTATAGAAAATGACAACGTCGGAATGAGTTATAGAAATTATTAATATAGAGGGGAGAAAGCGTTGTTTGAAACATTGTCTCGACTCACCGTATATCATTTGCCTTACATTATTCTTATATATGTAGTTGATTAAAAGTTTGATCTGAACGTTCTGATCTACGTACACGAATATAAGACATATGGTGCCGGTAAGGCGTCCTGTAGCCTTGAAACGTATACGATAGAACGTACGTATCGCTTAAGGAAAAAAGCACTGATTTTATCTCGTTCTGTACTTTTCTCGCGCACACATACAATACGCTGCCGGCAAAAAATAATGGGAAAAGCTGCAAACGTTATAGAGACGTCGCATTGCTCACTTGCCCAGGCGGATCGATATCCGAGTAGGTAAGAATTCTTACTCCTAATCACTGGATCAAGTGGCCGCCCTTTTTCGAATTACTCTCTTCCTCTATTATACGTATCTATAAAATAATGACACCGAGTAAGGTTCTTTTTTTCGATTTTTTTTTTTTTTTTTACAAAAGCTTACTTCACATCGTTCACGATAAGATTCTCCAACGATCGTATCTAATCGACAGTTGATCCTATGATTTTAATCTTACCAAAAAACCTCTGTGTACGTGCATTCAAGACGTAATAAAGGTCACTACATGGAATATTTCACGCGCATGATCCTTAGCAATATATATTGAAAACGCGTGCTTATCGGTTTTAGATTTCAATTATATGATATTTCATTTTAAACTTCAATTTAACTTCGATAATATCAAATTTCATTCATATTGTAAAAAGTATATTTCTACGTAGATAGATGGATATATTTTAAAAATATGTTTTAATCTTATTTCTACGGTGATTTGTATTGTAAATATTATTTATAACGTAAATTTTTTATATAATAGTATTGACAATAGTCAGGAGTTCAATTCGCGAAAAAAATTTTAAATTCCCAACTTTCGACTTCGATTAAGTTTGATCGATATAATTGAATTCTAATCGATATATTGAAAATTGTAAAATACTAATAATAATGTAATATCATTACAATTAGATTAATGATCTAATAATGAATAATATCTATATCGTATTGGTTATATTCAATATTTACAAATATTTTACCGTTAAATATTAATGATGTTCATTATACGAAAATACTAACCTAAATTGTATAACACGAAAACAAAACATAAATAGGAGACCTCTTACGGTACAGTGTCGTAACAGTTAATAAATATGGCGAACAGGAGTATTTTCCGTCTGTTGGAATCTTCCAGAAAAATATCACGAACAAATGCACCAGTAGTAACTTTAACGGTACGAAAATACTCAAATGAATCATCCGATGAAGTAACTCATACCGGACAGGTAAGGAAAATAGTTTTACTTCGATGACATCAAATCCTACATTGATTTCTAAAAATTATACTGTATCTATTTTATATGTTTATATATAAAACAACACTTTTATCATAAATAAACGTTCTTATCTGTTCGCTAGAAATTTGAAGACGATGACTACCGACTTGTAAGATTTGTCGATAGGCCAAAACATGTTAATCCTAATTGGGCTATAAATTATATATCTAAAACACAATCTATCCCTAAAAAAGATCGTGTTGTAGCATGTGACGGTGGTGGTGGTCCTTTAGGACATCCTAAAGTTTATATCAATTTGGTAAAAAGCAATAAAATATTATCATCGCTTATCCAAAGTAAAATTCTATAAACAAATTCATTATCTTTCATATAGGATGAACCAGGTTCAAATGTCTGCGGTTACTGTGGTTTGCAATTTCACAAGGAAGATCATCATTAAATGATATCCAGACTGAATATAAATAGTAAAAAATATATAAATTATATGTTAAATTGGTGATATTAATACTATATTATATTAATAAAATGAGTAGTAACTTCTTGGTATCGCTATAATCCAGTGTATTTATATGTATAAATAGTTTATAAAACCTATACTTCTATATTAGTCTAAGAGAAGTACTTAGATATATGAGTATAAAGAAAAGAAAATATTAAAGAAAAGTGTATTCATATTATTGATCTAACAAATTCATTAGATAATGTATATACACTTTTTTATTACAAGGCTGTTTTTTGATTATTCATACTCAGTGGTATTGCTTGCAATTCTGTTCTCATACAAAGAAATTCTCCACATACGCACATTATACTCAAGGAAACAATATTCAAACTCCACCAACTGAAAGAAGTTGGAAAACTGGCATTGTATGCCCAACAACAACACAAATGTATCAAGTGAGCTGTACATGCAAAGTCCATACACTGTTTTGTTCTCTGTACTAACCACCATAAGGCCATAGCACCTATTAATGCATTCAAAATAAAGATTACTATTACTAATTGTCCTCCAAAATCACGAATGTGTATTTCCTTATATTGAAAGGCATAATCCAAAGAATTTGTAGAGCCTAAAAGCGATGCTATAATCCAGATCCAAATTCCAAGAAAAAAATACATGACAGATTGTACTGCTACTATTTGTGAAATAATGAGTATAGGGTCCCATGTGGTCTTACGAAACTGACCAGAGATATTGTTCATTGCTTTGTTTGAAAATAGGTTCATTTCATAGATAAAAACCATCCAAATCCATGTATTATAATTTCCATTATATTTGTAAATGATCTTTTCAATTGCTGTAAAAAAATAAAATATATCCCTGTACATTGTTTCTTTTTTTTTTTTTTTTAATACAAATTTCATGCAGAACATTCTTTAAAATTTTTCTTTAAAAATTATTTCTTTTCTAACCTTAAATATTTGATTTACACGATTACATTCTATTAAATAAAACACATCTTTTGCATTAACATTATTATAATATATTACAAAGTTCCACGTCGAATTCGAACTGACATATTTACTTTAATGCATTCAAAGAAATGCAAAGTTAACATAATAAAGAAGTAAATACCTTTAGATATTTATAGTCGAGAAAGCTCTTCACAGTAATATATTTAATCACAATAATATATTTATACCAGTTAATATCATTATTATTGGGGAAAAAAATAAGTCCGACATAGACAACAATTAATAATAGTGATCTTGATTAAGGTTAGAATCATAAGCGCCATACGGGACTCGAGTCGAAGTTTGTTTAACTCGACATTCAAAGTGACTGTAATAAATATTTTATTAATGTTTCGTTATTTACAATGAGAGCGTGTAAATTATAAGGCTGAATAGATATGAATCATACGTATAAAATACATATTATGAAAATCGTTAGCGCTATTTGTCTTTCTTTGTTGTTATTGATACTGTCAACTTACAAAATTTTAACAAAGTAAATACTTTATATTATTAAATTAACTCTAATGGTATTCCAACCGAGAGATAAATATTAATTCGTAATTTTGTAAAATTTTTGAATTGTAAAAATCTGCAAAATCGATATATAATTATTTAGACCGAAGTTTGTCCGATCGAAGAAAGATAAAATAATTTTGCATTAGAATATATCTATATAAATATATATGCTTTGATAGAGGATAACAGGTTTGATGATAATGAAATTTTATATCGCATTGATGTTTCAATGTTAATAAATATAAAAATACGACAAATTTTGTTCACCATATTTTTTAATAAGATCAACAGCGTCAACAATCGTAAGGTAATTTGATTTTTTCAGTATATTATGTATAATCAGTAACAGTGAGATAATATTTTTTTGCCAGCTGGTAACATCTTTTATCAGTTATAACAAGTAATAGTAAACTTGAATCACGATGATTGGATATTCGTAAGCGCGCGGATTAAAACTGTCCAGTCAGTATCCGTCTTTCTAAAGAAAAGCGTACTCTCATCAATGACGCATTTGTGTTTGGAGAACGCTCATCGATTGCGAAAAGCTTTATGGTAACAATGATGTTCGTAGTACACGATTACATTTTACTGCATGATATGGCAAAGTTATAAAAACATTGTTGATTTTGTACAATAATGATTTGTAAATGAGTTGTGAATATTTTTCAATGTTTATTATTTAAATATAAAAATGAAGAAAGAGTAATATTATGAAATATATCTTTTAAATAAACTATAATAAATTTATTTATTAATTTTTATACAGATTTCATTGTTTATGGACTCAAGGAACTTTGAATGGTGAAGTTGTCATATAAATGGAATTTCTTTAAAATTATGAAAATCAATGCGTATACAATAATAGCACTATTCAGTCGAAGAGATTCTTAAAAAATCATTCCTTGATTACTTTTTATATTAATCATAATACAGTTGACAACAATTTCAAATGTCTCTTGATGATGATTTTGAAAGACCGTTTGAAGAATTTGAACCTCTGCAATGGGGAGCTCTACGAGAACTGTGCCACGCTAATAAAGACTACTTTTCGACGCATCAAGATGAAAATGGATCAAGAATCAGAGCTGGTCTTTTGGCAATATTGGATCACTTAGAAAAAATGCAACCTATATATAAAGAAATATCAAGAATCGCACCAATGTTTGATTTTGATGAACAAACTCCAGGAAATGGATATAGAAGCTTTTTAGTATTAGTTGATAGATGTATTATGCACTCTGGTACGGTATGCCGTCAAATGTATTGTCAAAAGGATTCCTTCCTTTTTCGTAAAAGTTATTATATGCGGTAAATAATAATTTTTCATTATATCTTTAATATAAACATATTAATACATGTAATTTACATGCAGTATAATTATTAATTTTATATGTATTTAGAGAAATTGAGGCTTGCTCTCAGTTGTTAGCATCTTTATACACTTGTCTACAATACTTGAAAACTCTTTACTCTTGGAGCGATCGAATGAAAGATGGAAAATTATCTTTGTTTTCTTCTAATGAACATACTCCACAAGAACTTTTAGATCAGGCAGAGAGTATAAATCAATATTGTTTTTATGGTAGATGTTTAGGATTTCAGGTAATTTTGAAAATTCCCCTAATTATAAGATTGAGATTAAATATTAAAGGCTTATTATAATTATTTCAGTATTGTGACAATATAAAACATATTTTAAAAACCTTATCAGTTTGTTTGGCCTCATTTAGTGAAGTTTATTATTCTAATGGAACATTATTTGGACGATGCGCTAATTCTTTAAAATATATATTGGATCCAGAAGCAAGAGCACGTCGTATTGTTCACGTATCTCAGCATGCAGATGTTTCATTTTGTCAAGCTTTCTGGTTTTTGAGTGAAAATGGTAAAATCTCTTTCCAAAAAAAAAAAGAAGAAAAAAAAATCCTAGATTGTGGAATTCGTTAAGGTTCTATTATTAACTATTTCAGAAATGCTGTGCAGTTCAGTATCAATGGTAGTACCATTAAGTATAAATCAAGTGATATCTATACCTCCTGAAGAATTAACACTTGATACGCTTGATGGAAGTAAAATCTCTATTCCAATACCGAACAGTCATATAGGGAGAAAGCCAATACATGTCCGATTACTTAGTGCTGTACGTCGTGTTGGAATGGTATACTAATTATATAATAATTATGTAATATTTTTATTTTTATATTTATTTATTTTATAGATAAGATAAAAATATTTTTTTCCAGGTCGGATCTGCAGGTACTGGAGGTGAATTACTTGGTTTATCCGAGAGTTTGATTATCCATTCTCATGGGGGAGGCTTTGTAGCACAAACTTCCCGTTCGCATGAAGCCTATTTACGAACATGGGCAGTAAAATTAGGTGTGCCTATTTTAAGTATAGATTACAGTTTAGCACCAGAAGCACCATTTCCTCGTGCTCTTGAAGAAATATTATACGCTTACGCATGGTCATTGAATCATGCGAGTACACTGCTTGGAAGTACAGCACGGAAAGTACTTCTTATTGGTAAAACATCTTCAATATTTCGGAAAGATACAAATTTATTTGAATGTATAATTAAATGGAACTTATTTCAATTATTCATAAAATAAAACATTAACAGGGGATTCTGCGGGGGCAAATTTGAACTTGGGAATTACTTTTAAATGTTTAGAAATGAATATAAGAAAACCAGATGGTATTTTTATGGCATATACACCAGTATTGGTAGAATTTGTAACATCACCATCTCGGTTATTAAGTCTAACTGACTTATTGCTACCTTTTGGTTTTATGATGCGATGCCTAAAAGCTTATGCTGCATTGGATAATAAAAAGACCTTAGGGTAATACTGAAAATGATTTATAGTATCTGCATGTAATTTTTTTTTTTAAGAAATTGAAAAAATATAATGGTGATACAAATGAAGCTTCTTTGCAGCCCTAAAGACAAAAATCAAGGTAACAATGAAGTGATAGAATCAGAAACTGAATCATTTGCAGAAGTTAGCGAGAGTGATCTTATAGCATTAGCTCTTAGTCCTAATGGAGACGAAACGAATGATGCACATAAACTTGCCTCACTTCCATCTGACTCTACATTAAACTCTGTAAGCCTAACAGATGTTGATGGTACGTACAATGTTAGACAAATTAATCCTATAATACATATTAATGAATTTAAATAATATTTATTAATATAATATCAAAGTATAAAAATAAAAATAAATTTCAAGTCAATGATATTATTTATATACTAGGAATAGATCATCCAAAGCAAGAAGTTAGATCTCAAGAATATATCAAAAAATTTTTAGAAATGTATAGAAATTCAAGCATACGTACTTCAATCCCTGTACTAAATAATTATAATGGTACAGATGACAACCCTCCAAGTAATGGCAAAACATGGTCACTTTTTGGATGGCCACTTGGTGGAGACAAAAGAGAAATTAGAGAACTCGATATGACGGCACGAGCAAAAAGTCCTTTAGAAGAATTTGTGTTCACTGTTCCGAAAGATCCACTCTTGAGTCCATACCTTGCGTCAGATGATCTCTTAGCTCGTTTACCACCCACCAAAATTTTAGTGAGTTTATGGCTGTTAGATTTTATCTAAACTAAAGTTTATTAGATTTGTAAAAAGATAATCAATATTATTAATATTTGGATATTGTAATTGTAGACGATGGAACTGGATCCTTGTCTTGATGACTGTGTTATGTTTGCAAGAAAACTAAAATTGCTAGGAAATGTAGTGACTCTTGACATATTATCTGGTTTGCCTCATGGATTTCTTAATTTAGCACCAGTGAGATAATTTTACTTAATTATCTGTACATATGTATAATTAATACATAATATAATTATATCTTATTATTTTACTTTTGTAGATTTCAAAAGAAGCATATGAAGGTTCTGAACTTTGCATTAAAAGGATCTTGGAATTATTACAGTTGTAATTTTATATATATATACACACACACACACACACACACACATATATATATATATATATATATATAAAAAATTATACACATGGTGTATATGCTAAAAAGCTTTGTTAAAATGTGATGATCTATAAACTATTTCAACCTGGTTTGTGATTATTTAGAGAATATTTGATCGATTTATGAGATTTGGTAATATATATACAAAATTTATTATGTAATATCTGATATAATTAATTTTTAATTTATGCATTTTGTAATATATGTATATGGTTACACAGTTTTTATTAATAATTTTGGAATTTGTAATTTGCATATATATTTTCTTTATTTATTTTTGATCATATAAATATAACTTAATTCACTTGATTTTTCGTATGTTTTAATTTTGGTTTAATGCTATGTTAAATCCAATTTTTTAATCTATGCATCCTTTTTCACAAGTCTGTATTTCGTAAATAATGCAAGTTTGATATTGATTGCTACATAAGATTAAAATATGTCTTTAGATTTTTATATTTGTATCGTTATTTATGTACAGGTGACTCCATAACATTTGATGCAACAGTAGATGTAATAACAAGGAGCTTTATTCATAGAATTCAAAGACAAATATAATTTTGTGATGGTAAAGAAAAAGATGAAATGAAGTAATGTACAAGAAAATTTATTAGTTGATAGTCTGTTGATTCGTTTGATTTGCTCGAGGTCGCAATGTTTTCTGTAAAACATGCGCATCCGCAGGCTCTATTCTTTTATAATAATGTTGTTTAGTTTCCACTATTTCAAATCCAAATTTTTTATAGAAATCAATCGCCCCTTCATTACTTATTTGAACGTGACTAGGAATATATGATACATTTGTTAAGAAATTTTCAGAAATAATATTTCATAATGATTTAGATGTATACTTACAGAAAAATTGAGTCAAAATTTCCATCTTTATTGACATATTTTAAAACGTGTTGTACCATCACTGTACCAATTCCTAATCTCCTATAAGGATATAAACACCCTAAAGTCATTATATATAAACGTCTAGAGTTTTCTGAAGTATCTACACGACAACAAACTGCACCAACCTACAAATATAGAATAATATTCTTTGGAAGTAACAAATGAAGAATATAACTGATATGAAAATAATTGTTAAAACATATAATAAATTTATAAAAATAAATGAATATAATACGGTCTAATTACCACTATGTCATTGTAATATGCTAGTTTAGCAAGTTCTCCTGCTTCTAAAACGTCCTTATAAAATTTTTCATTATACGAAACTGGAAACACCACTTGATTTAAGAGTTTAAGTTGTTTTATATTATGAGGCGTTACATCTCCCAATTCTATCTTTGACCTGTAATAAATCGAGAGATACTCGAAAATTCTGTGTTCACCTCCTATGACACCAGCATCTTTAAATCGGCTTGTTACAATCATTATAAGCGTACAAAAAGTGAAATATTATCTATCGTTATCAGTCGTATAAAATACGTTTAAAAACAATAAAATACTTTTGAAAGTTGATATTTATACATTTAAAATATAAGACAATTTGTTGAAGATAACCTCAAACTTATCACAATTTACCTAGTCATATTGGCCGACAATAAACTCCTCACGGAGGGATAGTTTTAACCTACTAGCGATTGGTCGCATTGCTAAGAGTATTTTATAGATGAAATTGTTGCGCGCGCAATACTTTTACCCGCCAATTTTCTTCTATGTCGGTTATTCCGATCGGTTACTTTGATTATTATATAATTAAAGACAGGTAAGAGAAAAATATTATTTAATAATAAACATTGTTTAAAAGTAATATTAAATATTTAAAAATTTTGAAATGGTATTGATTATTTATTGCCATATGTATATGTGTGTGTGTGTGTGTGTGTTGTGTGTATATATATATATATTTTATATATATATACACATCATACATACATACATATCTATACTTAATTTACAGATGCAAATACACGTATAAAATGATAAAAAATGATCAACTTAATCAATCGAAAAAGCTATACAAAATCGTTAATCATTCCTTAAAAATATTTACTATGCTTCACATGTATTGGTTAATACTTTTAAGCTGTGTACTCACTTACTTAAATTAAATTACGTCACATGCTTAAGGTTATTTTATTATTATATTTAGGTGATATTTTATTCAACATTATGTAGTAGGAGTGAAAAATTTTTTCTGTTATTTTGCTCACTACTATATGTCAACAATCGTTCTTTCTTTTTTTTTAGTACTGTTGATGGATTAACATTGAAAATAAATTTTCGATTTAGAATTTACATTTTGATTTCCCAATATGGTTGCGATCGTCGCCATCTTAAATATAACGACGTCATACTATCGTACGACGAAAGATTTTTAGGAACACGAAAGTCAAACGTGGCAGCAGTCCATCTTTACAGATAGTGAATGTATCAAAAATTCATTAATCTATCTTTAACACATTTGTTTTATATTTTCACCAGTGGTTTGATGCTCCAAAGGCGGTCGATTCGCCAAGCTGAAAGTGCACAAGACATATTCAAAGCTAGGCATGAATTTTGGAAATGTAGAATGCCAATGATATCTTGAAAATAATAAACGTAGAGGCGCCATTGCTACGCGCCATCTGGATATCGTCAAGAAGAAGTTATGGTAGTGAGAAATTGGAAAAACTTTCGAATAACGCTGTTACTTTTCGTAAGATCGTGTATCAAGAGGAGAAACTTATAATTTGAAACTGGTATAACATCCACTTGTAAATATAAAAGTACTTATGAATATAATTTATAATAGCAGATTGATCACAATTTCTTAACCTCAATATATTATAAGGAATTTAGGATCTCTGCGTTTGACACATAAATGAAATGAAGAAATTTATTTTTCTTTTAATACATTAGATGAATGATCAAATTATGAATAAAGATACCTGATTTACAGGAAGCATTGATTACTGTAAAAACTTTGATTTAAGGCCCACATAGCAGAATATTTGCAATGAGAGAATTTGTAAAAGTTATCATCAAACATACAGTTTGATTACAAGCTTAATATTGTTCCTATTTATTCATGTTTTATCTGAATCTTCGATAATTATTAATAGAGGGCATAGAAAAATATTATTTTGAATAAAAGAGAAGTATTAAATGTAATGTTAAATGCTATATCTAAGAATATATACAATTTATGTTCGAAGATAATTTAAAGGAATATTCTATAATTTAAGTATTTAAGGTAACTACTTTTAAAATTTCTTAAAGCTAGTATTATACAGAAATTTATTATAAGTTATATTTACTATTTATATTTTTGTTATTTATATTTTTGAAATAATTGAAATTTTCTTTAGATTTATAAATAATTTTTTAATAATTTCAGACTATTATGTCAGTGCAAATATATGCTAAGGCATTACAATTTATTTACAAAGAATGCTACTGTTTAAATTACATATGTTACTTTAAAATGAAAATAATAAAAAATGTGTTAAAAAAATAAATGTATTCATAAAAGGAATTTCCAAATTAAATAAAGATCAGATTATATAAATATGCAGAATTCAAAGCTTAATAGAGATCATGATTATGGAGAATTAATATTAGAAAATCATAAATATACGACGAATATCAACAGTCAAAAAGGTATGCTTGAAAATAATTTATCGAAAACTGCTTTGAAGCCTATGAGAATTGCTTCAACAATAAATAAAGATACGTTAGGTGGACAAGTTAAAGATATAAATGAATTAAAAAAAATAACACCTCGTGTAAAGCTTTTGGCTCACGATGTAAATAGTTTGAAGGAATTAACAAAAATTTCATTGCAAAATAAATCATTAAAACAAGAAAAAATATCAATGTTTGAACATACAAAGCAGGAATTAAAAAAGTATTGTCGAACTTGCGCTGGTTTGAAGCTTCCATTAGTTGATATTTTCAGTGAAAAAGGTATTCAAATGAGGCTAAGCCAACAGATACAACATTTAGAAGAAATAAATCCACATGACAGTTTATCCACTCAAATGTGTATGGATTGCATTTGTGATTTGAAAATGAGTTACAAATTTTTTATGCAAATTAAAAAAGCTGAAGTTAAGCTAAAATCAATTCATGTTACATTAACTGATACAGTTGCACGTAATATAGAAGCAGAAAAATTGCAGTCTTTAACTAACAATCAAATTAATCAAAAGCAAATAGAAGAGACTTATGATTGTACTATGGTTCCTGCACCAATGGGCACTGATAACGATGAAAATGTTCCAAAAATATCTGCAATTTATTCTTTAAAGGATATTTTAAACTCAATATCTTCAGAAAGTAAAGAAAAAGAGAATCCTGATGTAACATTCAAAACTGAGTCTGACATTTTTGAAGATGTTACAGGTGAACATCATAGCGATGATAACGAATCCATAGAAGAATTTGATCCAGATGATCCGCCATTTCAACCCGATAGTTCTGACGCCGCAGAATCCGATGATGAAATTGAAAGTAGTCATGTAGATAGAAGACGAAATACACATAAGAAGGAAAATGTAGATAAGGCAAATAATCAATCTTTTGTGTTCCATGATTCATCGCGTAATAATTTGATACAGAATCAGGATGATGTTAATCAAGATTCCAATCAAACCGTATATAAATATGACATGGCATTAAAGGCTTATGTCAAAGTAGAGACTGCGCAGGACAATATATTAAGTTCCAAATTACAAATTGGCCCAAAGATTGAAATTAAAGATAATGAATTTGGAAAAGACACTCCAAAGCAACCAAATATATTGAAGCGCAGACTTTTACAGCAAACAAAAAAGGAAGGCTTAGGAAATAATGAAGAGTTAAAATGTACCTCGACTAATGTATCTGATACTAATGAAAGTCCGAAAGATCCGAAAATTCAAAAATTAGATATACAAAACCCATTAAACATTAATGATCCCCAAGAAGACGGAATTATGTATGTTACTGTGAAAGGTTCTAAACCAAACGAAATATTATTAGTAAAAGTTAAAAAGATGGATAAACCATTTGAAAAGAAAGATGATAAAAATTCAAGTAAAGTAAAAGGTTTTGATTTTAAACCAGTTGGCAAAATTTTAAAGAGATACGAAACGTTAACAACAAAGGAAAAGAATTTATTTACAGAACGTACAAAAAAGTTGGATAAGAGAGAACAGATTATAGAAGAACAAATAGAAGAATATAAGAAAAAACGTGAAAAGGTTTTAGGCAGTCAGTCAAGTTTAACAATGAAAAATGAAGAAACGCCAAATCGTTTTATTAAACGGGTCGAAAGTTCTGATGATCAAAAGCCAGTTATATATGAAGAAAGTAATTCAAATATAAAAGCAGAATCTGACGTAGACAGTAGTACAATGAACAGTACTATTCTCAAAGATGAAAATAATATTTCAGATGTTTCAGATTCTCTGCAAGATAAGTCAGTCCAAGAAAAAGCATATGTGAACACAAAGGAGTATTTATCACGTTTAGCAAAACTTAAATTAAAATGGGAAGAAGCAAAGAAAAAGAAAGAATATTTACAGAAAGAACTTGATCAGTCTTATACAGAAGGAAATATGGAAAAATTATCACGCATTTTAGGAGAGAAAGAAAAAAATTTGCTAGAGTTTCAAGATTATTTAAAGCAAAGAAAAATTGTTATCACCAGATTAAAAGATGAAGACATCATTTCGCTTTATGAAGACAGAAATAACACATCTCTCCAAAAAAGTTTACCAGACTTGATTGATGAAACAACACCAGCAGATTATATACCAGAGGAACATTATTTAGAGTGTGATTATTGTCCGGAAACGTTTGCTTCAAAAGAAGTTCTCGAAGATCATTTGAAAACGCATGATTTCAAAATTATGCATTACTGTGAAGACTGTATGGAAGAATTTCCTACAAATAAAGCAAAAAGAAATCATAATGTGGTATGTTTTAAAAAATTATTATGTAAATATTGTGATGTAATGTTAGATTCGAAAGGCAAAAAGAGGCAGCACGAGCAAAAACATTGTGATAATATGTTTGGCCAGCTATGTGATATTTGTGGTGAAAAATTCAAACATCAAGGGACATTAGATCAACATGTTAAAACGCAACATATGAGCTGGGAAAAAATTTATCAATGTCCAAAATGTCCAAAAAAGTTTGCTTTCAAACAAAAATTGAGCTTTCATTTAAAATCTGTGCACACAACATTGAGAGCTTATTTATGTGAAGATTGTGGGGCAGACTTTAAAAACCCCGCCAGTCTTAGACATCACCGAATTCGTAAACATCAACCTGTAGGGAACAAAAGGGAGTGCCCGGTTTGTCATAAATTAGTACCATTTTATAGTCTTTCAAAGCATATGTATACTCACAAAGCTTACACTATACAATGTCCGCATTGTGATAAAATGTTTAAAAATAGTTCAACGTTGAAACAACATGTTAGAATACATGAAGATCAACGACAATATCGTTGCGATACTTGCGGCGTTGGATTTAATAGGAGGGATGGGTTAAGGCTCCATATGAGAGTTCATGAAAAAACTGATAGTAGAGGATTGAAGGAATGTTCTTGTCAAGTGTGCGGCGAGAAATTTCCAAATCATTCTACACTTGTTATACATAGAAATCGCGTACACAAAGATGGAAGGCAGTATACATGCCATATATGTAATAGATCTATGATTTCAACAAGATCATTAGAATGGCATATGTCTCATATACATAACGAATCACTTCCTGGCATTGTGAAAGAGGCTGTAGATGGATTACCAGAAAAAAGAAGAGTTGCTTGTTATCATTGCAATAAAACTTTCAAAACGGAAATGATTTTGAGAACACATATTAAAAATACTCATATGGAGAAAGATCCTATGAAGTGTTTGGATTGTGATATGACGTTTACTTCTGAGGTTAGATTGAGGCATCATATGATGGTAACTCATAATAGGCTGGAAGGCACATTGCCGTGTCCTCATTGTCCAAAACGATTTGTAAATCAACTTAGATTAAAGACTCATATGATATCTCATTCTGAGGAAAGACCGTATACATGCGAAATATGTGGTTTTAACTTAAAGACAAAGATACAACTCATCAAGCATCATCAAAATAGACATAGCGACGAAAGACCTTTACAGTGTAGATACTGTCCTTGGAGGTGTAAACAAGTAAGCGCGCTTGTTTGTCATGAAAGAACTCATACAAACGAACGACCATATTCGTGTAGTGTTTGTAGACAACGTTTTAAGTATTTGGGTGATAAGAACAAACATGAAAGACGTCACGAAAGTTTAGGAGGATCTGGATTTAAAAGAATAGTACCTGGCAGAAATATTAAGCACTCGAAAGTTCAAGAAGAAACCTCTTGTTCTGAACAAGAACAGGAAGAACTGACACGTGTAAATGCACAGCTTACAGAAGGTCAATATGAAGAACAATCAAGTCAACCATTTGAAGAAAAATTTGTGAAAGAACAAATTGTCAAATTTGAAGAACCAGAAATTACAGAAGAATACGAGCAGGTCTATGAACAGGTATATAAATTTATAATATATATTAAGGACTTGTTAGTTAACACACATCTTAATATATATTTTTCAAATTATGATATATCGTAGGATTATGAAGAAACATCGAGGGAAGCTTCCGAAGCTGCAGAAGTTATCATGAACATGGAGGATACCACTGTATATACAGAAGAAGTAACCGCAGACAACATAGAATCTGCAGAAATAATGGCAGATGAAATGATGACAAATGAAATTTTACAGAGTGGAACTGTAGTACATTTACAACAACAAGATGATTCTGGAAAAATTCAAGTTATTCCTGTAATGTTATCTTTACCTGACTTATCTGATACGAACGCAGAAGTCAATTTAGCAACGGCATCTATAATGTATAACAATTAAAAGGAATGATTTGACTATTTATGATTATGATAAAATCGTATTTGTAAAGAAACATTTTGTGGTTCTAGGTAAAATTGTATTGTGCTTTCTCTCTAAAGGAAAGTCACATTCCTGTAAAATAAATTCAGGATATTTTCTATATTAAAGTAATTATACGAATAATGACTACATATAAAGTGTGATATTTGCGTACTCTGTAACATAAAAAACGGTTTTTCACTGCTAAAGTAGCAGTTTTGTAAGGTTATACATATAAATATATGTTAACAATGTAAAATACGATAAAACAAAGGCTTCATATTTGCAATTCATATTGAAACACAAGTCTATAAAATTTTCAAGTTATAAGGAAATAAATGAAAAAAAGAAAAAAAAAAAAACACTTTATAGTAAATAGAAATAATTATTATTTGCTATATTATGATACTATGTACAAATCTATATAAAAAAAAGAAAAAAAAAGGAAAAAAAAAAGAAAAAAAAAGAAAGGAATAAGAATGTTAAATATTAATGCAATGTTAGATAATCATTTATTTGTAAGATCGACAGTATCCATTAAGCATATGTTTGTATATTTGAGATCTTGTCCATTTATCAAACTTCCTTATTCCATTACAAGATGTCATTATGGAATATAAGATTCACTTGAAAAACAACATATTTGTAAACATAATAGCTTTGCAAAGAAAACATAATAAATCCTTTGATATAAATAGTATATATTTTAAATATACGAATAGAATAAGATAAAAAATATGAATTTATAAGTTTTATTTGAAATTACGTTACAATCGAGATTTTTTAAATATTCTTCCCTCTGTATAATCAGTATAATTAATTACGATTAACTGTGTTAATCTTTTTATATTATGATTATTCTTTGGAAAGTATATTTGAAATTTTTCAATTTATGGATACAATCCATAAAGAACAAAAAGCAATTATTTTTAATTTATTATACGAATATATTAAAGTATCTATCACAATAATAACACAATTATAATAATGTTCGCTTATTACAATATTCATTTGTAACATTTTTTACCTTTTGTCCTAGACATCTATAATTTTGATTTACTTGTTAAAAAAGCAGTATTGATCAGTTATGTAATGCAAAACATAAAATATGCTGATATAAATTCCGTACTTTATTTTGTCATATTGTTTTCATTTTTTATCCAACTTCGTCTGTACGTTATCGTGGTAATAAAAAATATTTTCACTATCATAAATTCTTTGTTCTGTTACTTTAGCAGCCTTTGAAAAGCCAAATATTGTGTGCACGTAATGTGTTTATTATTTAGTTGAATACATTGAATTATTCTCATTTGTACATAATCACTATAAAGTTTGTTTTCTCTTTCATAAGTATTTTGTAACTAATTTGTACCTTACGCTACTAAAGCTATGTATATTATGTTATCAATTCGAAATATTTTCAATATTACATACCATATATGTCACACATTTCGTATTCTTTGTTAATACATATACATATGTAAAATATATATATATATATATATATATATATTTAATCTATATTTATATCTATATATATATATATATAGAAAATATCGTCAGTTTCTTTGTAGGTAAAAAATAAAATTTACTTACACATTGCAGAATCATTGCAAATAGACATCAACCTATCTAATGAAGGGATAAATTCCCGATATTATGCTGTACAAGAGAAAAATTTTAAATATACATGTACAAACATGTAGTTAAAACCATATCGCTCTTACTTTTGTATAGTGTGGCATATGTCAATCGTATAAGAGGTATAAGAAGATGTAAATAGACTAATTGCACTGTATGAAGTGGTCTAATTTATAGATTATTATAAAATTATTCTAAGTGAATTCTAATTAATTCTTATTTACATTTTGATAATATTGTGCAAGGATGTTCCATGCTTTCGGAGACATAAAACCATCAGGTGGACACTTTCCTGCTTTAGCTAAATCTACAATAGCAATGTATTTTTAATATGATTTTTTTAATAATAAGAACATATATATATATATATATATATATATATATATATATACATACATACATACATTATATCTTATTTCTATATCTATAAACGAAATATTTCTTACCACGCATTCTCGTTCCTGATATAAAATCAAAATCTTGTTTCCGTTCTAGATCGAAAAAGGACATTTTTTTATTTTTCTTATCATATGCCGCAACTTTAAATGGAATGATTTCTAAGCTTTGTAAACCTCGTGCTATTGAAAGAACTCTCGCACCGTGAGTAGGATCATAGAGATTACCATCAGGTGTAGCTTTCTTATTTGGATGTGGCATACCAGCTGGGTCTCTACCCACAATGTAAAAATTTGCACCTGCATTCATTCTGGCCTTGGCATGCCATTGTACCTTAACAACAAATTTTATAACTATATATTTATACATTTTTTAGCACATATTAATTATACAAATTTTCACCGACTTCAACAGGACCAGCATACATCATAGGACTTGGAAAAATAGCTAGCAAAGTAGAATTTGCATCAAGTACACCCTCTTCTAAAACAGCTTTATGTTGCATAATTCTTGTATGTAAAGGTACATCGTCTTCTTTCGTCCAACCTCCTAGTGGATGTAATAATAGTACAGGATTTTTAAAACCTCTTTCTTCAAGTAAACGTTTTCTTGTATCCTGTAAATAAAATGTTTCATGTTACTGTGATCAAATGTATTATAAAAGATAAATTTAAATAAGTGAGATAAAAAAGAAATATACCTGCATAAGTAAGGCATGACCATTATGTATAGGATTTCTAAGTTGAAATGCGAATACTGCATCAGCTTTCATTTTTCTACATTTTGCTCTAATTTCATTTGGTGTTAATCTATATATATCAAAACCATCGTGCCATTTAATCCTTTCTAGAACTTCTATATCCCCACCTACCAACCAATCTCCTGATTCATAAATCATCTTCACATATGGATGACCTAAGTTGTTAGTCCCAAATTGCCACCCACATCTTTCTTCTTTTCTATGAAAATAAAACTCTGGTCTTCGTAATATTGCCAAAGCCTTGTTTTTATATTTAAGTGTTATCGCTGAATGTCCCTCCAAACGAAGTTTATCTGTAGTACTTATTGCAAGAACTATAGGAATAGACTGATTTACTTCTTTTCCACCTTCAAGTAGACATTTCAAATGTTGAGTCTAAAAACATTTCCCCTAAAGCCTTCAATTGTGTTAAGAGTATAAAAAAGTTATTTTTATTTTTCTATTTTCGATCAACGTATATATATATATATATCAGCTTTTTACAGAAGCATAAGCATATGTATAGAAGTATTATATACCTGTAGATATTGGCTTTCTCTCATGAAACCAGTAAGTGGGAGTGCCCATCCTTCTGCTAGAATTTGAAGCCACTGTATATCGATCTTTGTAATTTCTACACTTTGTAAAGTGTCTGCTTCTGCTTTGGCAGAAGCAATTCTGGATTCTGGAACAAACAGTTCTCTTATAGGTGCAGTAGGTTTTGGTAATACTGGTATGATACACTGTTTTTCCAGAAGATCGATCACCGTTGCAGCTGATTCTTCTAAAGTACAGTTCTCTGTGGTTACCACCAAATCAGGATTAATAGGTCTTTCATACATCTGATCTATACCAGTAAAACCTTTTATAGCACCTTGTCGTGCTTTTTTATAAAGTCCCTTTGTATCTCTAGCTTCGCAAACATTAAGCGGAGTATCAACAAAAACTTCAAAGAATGGAAGATCCGAGGCTTTGTGTATTTGCCTTGCCATTTGTCTATCTTCTTCAAATGGCGATACAAAGCTACATAAACAAATTTGTCCACTATCTGCAAATAGCTTTGCAACTTCTGCAACCCTCCTTATATTTTCTTTTCTATCTTCTTTACTAAAGCCAAGATTGCAATTTAAACCACTTCTGACATTATCTCCATCAAGCCCGTATGCTGCAATTCCATGATCAACTAGTATTGCTTCCACTTGAAAAGCTATAGAAGTCTTTCCTGCTCCTGAGAGACCAGTCAACCATACTGTACATCCACGAAAACCTCTTACATGACCTATAGCTTGACCACGTTTTGTTCTTGATACATGATGTGCCTGTTCTGACACATTAGTACATGACTAGAAAAAAAAGCAAAATTATTTATAATCTTATTAAAAAAAAAAATATTATTTGACTTAAACATTTTTTACTCTTATTCAATTTCGTCGCGATATAAATTTTACATATAAACACTTTATGATTTTATCATGCATATAATAAACATCTTATCTATTGTTATTTTTGTCATATTTTATGATATGAAGGCACTTTTTTATCGTACCGTTACATACCGTCATCATTTTTTTATGTGGGTTTTCCATAATGCCATTCGATCTACGGCTATTCCTTGTTTTTTGTATGTCTGTATGGTGATTGGTTTTAACTTAATCGAAATATAATATAAACTATATTCTATAATATATATAATTCTCCATAAAAAACAAAAATTTATCTACATAAATGCATGGCAATGAATTGTATGAAATTTCTCTTTAATTAATTTATTGTTTTTGTGTCACTACGATATACGCATCGAAAGTTTATTGTATCTCGCGGTTTTCTAAAGAATGCACTGTTTACTACTGTAATATTATTAATAATATTGACATTGATAATTAGTAATATCGAATACTAACAAAATTAGACAACTATACTTCGATGTACTTAGTACGACGACTACGTCGACATAAGTCGATGAGTTTGATATTAGTTGAATAGATAAATCCTACTCAACATAAGTTCATATTGCTTTCCCACGCATGCGTAGGCGATTGTTCGATTGTATTCGGTTATATTTCAAATCGTATGCTTGAATTTTATCAAAGTATTATTATTGTTTTTTACTTTTTTATTCAATTTTTATTTATTTAATTTGTTTTTTTTTTTTTTTACAATTAAACTAGTAAATATAATTGTACCTGTACAGCTAATTAATGTATTTAAGTATATTTAAGATGAATTTTATTTAACCATTTTTTATTATTGATCAATATTTTTTTCTTACTCATTACATTTGTGCTTTATTATATTGAAAGTGTTGTTTAATTTATGTTCAACAGACATAAATTTTGTATTTGGATCATTGAGAAGAAAATATACTTGATCTCCAACATTTAATATACTAATTTCTTCTAATAAGGAACATACACTATACATTGGTTCTTTCACAGAACCAAAGATATCATCAATTTTGCCTAAGTAAACATAATTTGTAAAACTTTGATTTTGAGAATTTGGATTATATACAAATAATGGAGTATCCAAATATAAAAGATTAGACATTGATGGTTGGATAAGAACAAGACCCATGCTAGTGATAATACTTTGAATTGTTCCTGCAAGATATTTGTCATTTCCACTTATTTCAAGCTTCTGTTTTGTAATGTTGGAATTTATGCTAAGTTTTGTAAAATATTCGTTGATTCTAAAAATGTAAATTTTTTGTGTTACCATTTATTATTTAATAACATGCTATGTACATACCGAGACACAGATGAATTTGAGTGAGATACATATGGTGTTACTACATTTAAACAAGAGCCTTCGTTACTACTAATATTATTCTTTAGGAAACTCTTATTTAAAGGTATGTATGTTTTGCCATCTTGTTCCATTGTTAAAATATTAGTATATAAATAAATCTACCAAAATTGTATTGTTAATAAATAAATTATATTAACAATGTTTTTCTTTAAACTACGTTATTATATAGATAAAAAAATAATAATTACGCTTAGTAGGAATAATTACACTTGATAAGAATAAAAATACTTTATTTATCCGAATTTCTTAGTATAATGACCTTGCCTTGTATTTAAAAAAAATATATATATATATATATATATATATATATATATATATATGTATATATATGTATATACGATTTCACTTAATATTTCATTTTATATAAGAACCGTAAAGATATTTATATTTATATTCTCAACATCATGAGAAATAATTTGTTGTTTATTTTTAATTGTATATACGTTTATACAGTAACACATCACAAATTTAAAAACTACAATATATTTCTATTTTTAAAATTGGCGCTTTTTTATCATAACAAGTAGTGTGAATTAGCAGCTAAGTTCACGAAATTCTAAACATGAAATGTATATGAAATTTCATTGTCTCTTCTTAAGTTGTTCATTTGCGGGAAAACTCAAATATATCCCTTATGGTAACGGATTATATTAATTAATATTTATAAAAATTTGTAGACTACTTTTTTTTACGAAATATGTTGAGAATCGTTAAATGTGGTGTTTTCATATCTCATAGTTGGAGTATTAACGTTTGTCATAATGCAAAGTCTATAAGATCATTTAGTCAAAAAGTATGAATAAATTAATTTGAAGGTTATTTTGTTCTTTAAAGATTTTTAATTTTTTCATATTTATATTTGTGATTATAGTTTGTAAAAACTGAGTATTCAAGGAGAATATTTTCTGGCATTCAACCTACTGGTAATGTTCATTTAGGAAATTATCTAGGTGCAATACAGAAATGGGTAGAGTTACAAAATTCAGAAAAAATAGTTATATGGAGTATTGCAGATATGCATTCTATTACATTACCCTATGTAAGAGAACTTAAAATGTATAATAATTGTATATAATGCATAGTGTTTATATATATATATATATATATCATCTCAATATCAACAATTCGTATATATTATATATTTTTATAGAATCCTGTCACATTGAAAGATAATATTTTTAAAGTAACAGCCACATTACTGGCATGTGGAATAGATCCACAGAAAAGCATATTATTTCAACAGTCTGATGTTTCTATGCATTCAGAATTATGTTGGATACTTGGTTGTATTACTACCATGGCTAGGCTTGGACATTTGCCGCAATTCAAAGAAAAAAGTCAAACCTTAAAGACTATTCCTTTAGGATTATATATTTATCCTGTTTTACAAGCAGCGGATATATTGCTTTATAGGTATATCCTTTGAATAATATCTTAATTTATATGCTTCTAAGTTTTGTAAATGTTTTTTTGTAATTCTATAGAATAAAAAGGCAAATACAATATTATATGTTAGAGCTACAGATGTACCAGTAGGCCAAGATCAAGCACAACATATACAATTAGCACAGGATTTAGCAGACTCTTTTAATAAAAGGTATGGAGATACTTTTCCAATACCACGGAGCCTTATTTGTGGTATGTGTAAATAATAACTAATGTTATTAAAAATATTTGAATAAAAAGAAAAGTATATAATGGCTGATTGAAAGTACATTTTAGGTGATGCAAGTCAAAGAATAAAATCACTAAGAGATCCTTTAAAGAAAATGTCCAAATCGGATAAAGATCTCAAAAGTAGGTTGGATTTAACGGATAAACCAGATGTGCTGTTAGAAAAAGTTAAAAAGGCTATAACTGACTTCACATCTGAAGTAAATTATGAACCTGAAACACGACCAGGTGTTTCCAATTTAATTGCTATTCATTCTTTACTTACTGGAAAGTCTCCCGAAGAGATTTGTAAAGATGCACAAGGTTTGGATACTGGAAAGTAGGTATTTCTATTTATATATAATGTTGCTCATTAAAAATATTAAAATTACATTTTAATATCTTTTTAATGTCATAGGTATAAATTGGTATTAGCAGATGTGATAATAGAGAAGCTGAAACCAATTCAGGAAGAGATATTTAGATTATTAAACGAACAATTGTATTTGAATGAAGTTTTAAAGATAGGTTCACAAAAAGCAATAGAACTTGCATTTGATTGTTATTCCGATGTAAAGAATAAAATAGGGTTTGAAAGGAATGAAGGAGAAGGAAAAGAAAAGACAAAATATACTATTGTACATTGATTACGTATAATTAAAGGTAAATATTTATTATAAATAAATTAAAATTTTTTAATAAGAATAACAAAATGTTAAAGAAATTTTATAAAAGAGTTATAATAGATATTATTTCATGTCAATAATTAATTTACCTCGTAAATGACCTTGCGTTACTCTTTCATATGCTGCTGGTAAATCTTGAAAAGGATATATTTGTTTCACAACTGGTATTATCTATAAAATATACTTTTAACATGAATATTTATTTGTATATCATGTTTAACTATAGAATGAAAATGATCTAATAGTAATGTACCTGTCCACATTCAACAAAATCATGAAGCATATTCATGCCTGTTTCTGATGGTACAAAAAAGCCCCATTTTACAGAACCTTTGTTATTAGACTTTGGAATATTATATTTAAATATGTCACCAAGATTTTTAAAAGTTCCAGCAATTAATCCCAACTGATCAATATTTTTTAATAATGGAGAATTGAGTGTTATATAAGTATAATATGGGTAACCCTTTGAATTTATTAAGTCTGGTCCTTGATTGGAGCAATCCAAAATTATATCATATCTGCAAGTAAAATTTATTTATATAATTGATGATAGCTATTGATAAAATGTTGAGAAATGAAATATTACAAATTAAATGATATTAAATTACATACGGTCCTTCAGAAATTATTTGTGCATCAGCATCACGTTGTTTATAATCTATTACAACATTGGCTCCTAATTTTTCCATCATATTTACAGCATCACTGCTACAAGTGGTTATTACCTGAAGAAATTTTTTATAATTATCAATAAGAGGACAATACTATATGCGATAGTAATATAATAATATTATATTACATGCATATTCCAAGCTTTCAACAGTTGTATAGCCATAGTACCAACACCTCCAGAACCACCTAATACTAGTATCCTTCTATTTAATCTTGTACCGATAGATGTTTTATAACACAAACCGCCAGTAATCCATAAAGCAGACCATGCAGTCAATCCAGCATACAAAACACTTGCAGCTTCAGTGTACGATAAGTTTTTTGGATATTGCCTTACCTGTAATCGTATAATTTGCCTCATAATGTTAACTCAAAATATATTTTATTATATGTAGGTAAAGATATATAAATTACCAAGCTACTATCAACAACCACGTAATTAGCATGGCAGCCTTGCTTATCTACAGGAACTACACCCCATACTTGGTCTCCCAGTTTTAGTTTATCTCCAACATTGTGTCCCTTTGAGACTACAATTCCAGAAAAATCTCTTCCTAAAGTTAATGGAAATTCAATTAAATCGCTATACGCATAGCCACCAAAGTTCCTTGCTTTACGCATAAGATTTAATAACGTTGCACCATAACCACCTGTCAAAGACATAATCACTTTTAATATGTCAATACATAAACATGCGTAATTTTAATACGAGAAAGTGATATGCCATACGTATCATTGCAATGTCTATAGGATTAACACTTGCTGCTTGGACCTTGATTAAAACTTCCATTGGGTTTGTAATTATCGGTATTCTAACATTTGACATTTTTAATTCGTTCACGTTGCCATAAGAGTGTATCTGCCAAGCTAGCATTTTACTCTCTACATCTTCTTTGTACTTTGGTGACAATTGAGCAAGAGAACTCAATCGAGTATCATGTATGAAGCGTCTTAATTTTAACATATTTTTTATCAACGTCGTTGAATATCACGATGGAATAACTTCAAATCAAAATTTATGGAAAAGAGAGGTTAACTTTTCGCATTAGCTATGTCACGTGTGAAACTGCGCGGCAACGTGCGTGAAATTACAAATACATCATCAATGTTATTAATATAGTAGGA